CTACCTCATTTTCTGTTTCGGGTTGATCCTGAAGTGTCAAAGTGTCCTCGTTTTATAGCCATTTTCATTGTTTCTATAGAATAGTAGTTACTATCCTAGTGTCTCATTTTTATTTTACTTAGTTTACATGTTTTAATAATTGTAAAGCGCTTAGAGCTTTATGATAAGCGCTATATAAAAATGCCTAAATAAATAAATAAATAAATAAATGGGCTTGTGGGGTGGGGTGGGGATGGGGGAGATGTCCCTCAGAATTAATAGTCTAGGGGATGGAAGGGAATGGGCTTGTGGGGTGGGGTGGGGATGGGGAGATGTCCCTCAGAATTAATATACAATTTTTACCAAGTAAGATTTTATTTGGCTCATTAATTTTTAAAAAAAATGAATTTAAAAAAATTTTTTTTGAAAGATCCAAATATGAGGGGTAAAAGGTTAATGCAGCCAGAGATGAATCAAAGTCACAATGTCTGATAGGCTGAGCAGAAAGTTATCAGATGTTATAATGTATGATGAGATATGCAAACCACAAATAAAATCAGAATTATATCCTCTTTCAACTGAAACAGAATAACTACACATGGAATATAAATTGCTTATATTAAAATTTACATATTGCAAAATTTTCTTTTTTTATACAAAATTATAAAATAATTGTATATGAATATTGATTTCAATTAGGAACGATTGCAAGGACTTCCAAGTGAGGAAAATTAAATAAGAATGGTTTTATTCTGGTGTAAATCGTCTCCCATGATATTAAAATTTATGCAGACAATAAATATGTCAATGAATTTTATGGTCCGAAAAGTGTAAAGCTAAAAAAAAAAACAAAAAAACTCTCATTACTCACTTTTTGTATTTTTTTTTGTTGCTAGCAAAAACTGACCACCCTGCTTTTACAACATAAATCTTATGATTGCCTCCCAGATTTTTCTTAATTTGAAACAAAGGATAGAAGTAAAATTTAAAGTATTAACTGCTTCCATTATCATCTATCAAGCATGAACTATAAATAGCAATAAATAAAGTCACAGTTCTTAATTATTTCACATGAAAAATATCTGCTTTCCTTCTCTCACTTAAATAATTCTACAATCTAATTTGCCTACATATTTCCTTAAACAATTCTACAATCTAATTGCCTACAAATTTCCTTAAATAATTCTACAATCTAATTGCCTACATATTTCCTTAAATAATTCTACAATCTAATTGCCTACATATTTCCTTAAATAATTCTACAATCTAATTGCCTACATATTTCATTAAATAATTCTACAATCTAATGGCCTACATATTTCCTTAAATAATTCTACAATCTAATGGCCTACATATTTCCTTAAATAATTCTACAATCTAATGGCCTACATATTTCCTTAAATAATTCTACAATCTAATGGCCTACATATTTCCTTAAATAATTCTACAATCTAATTACCTACATATTTCCTTAAATAATTCTTCAATCTAATTGACTACATATTTCCTTAAATAATTCTACAATCTAATTCCCTAAATATTTCCTTAAATAATTCTACAATCTTCTTGCCTACATTTTTCCTTAAATAATTCTACAATCTACTTGCCTACATATTTCCTTAAATCATTCTACAATCTACTTGCCTACATATTTCCTTAAATCATTCTACAATCTACTTGCCTACATATTTCCTTAAATCATTCTACAATCTACTTGCCTACATATTTCTTAAATACAACTACAAACTATTTGCCTTCATATTTCCTTAAATAACTCTACAATCTAATTGCCTACATATTTCCTTAAATAATTCTACAAACTACTTGCCTACATATTTTCTGCAGCCTTGCAATGGACAACAAACACAGAAACGTGTCAGAAATGTCTTGAGGAACCCGGGCAGCTACTCCATGACGCGCCCATGTCACCCACAGATGGAGGAAAGAGCATGTCAGAGACAGAAGAACTGCATTGAATACTCCTGGGAGATCGCTGACTGGACGAGTTGTCTGGTCAATGGAGGAAGTGCAGAGTGTGGGGTGGGTCACAAGGAGAGATTCGCCATCTGTAGAAACGAGGTTGGGGAGAAGGTGGAGGGTTACAGGTGTGAAGAGGTAAGATGGTGCACACGTGGGGCAGTTTTAAATAATCATCCTATTGGTGTATAGATGATAACTTGATGGTTTAATGAAATTTTATGAACTTTGAACTTCAATATATTTTGATACATATCTTATAATTGCAATTTTTAACATTTTTCAAAGTGTAAACCCACACCTAATGGGGACTATATAATAAAGTCTTGTCTTATTACCCAAAAGATTTGGGTAAATACTCAAAGAATAGTATCACAATCTTTGAAATCTACAGTTTTTATCGGAAGGTAGACATTAAATATTGTTACATTTTTCTGCTAGATATTTCTTCTATTCATTTCAGCTGTTTGGGCCGGTGACGGAGCCTCTTGTTGTGTCATGTGAGATCCCCTGTGATAATGATTGTCTCATGTCTGACTGGTCAGACTGGGCACCATGCAGTACCACCTGTGGCCTTGGTTTGTAAAACATGTTAATTACTGGCCTTGAACTTGAGTTGATAGGTGGCTGTATTGATGAGTTATCTGTTCCTTTATTTTCTTCTTAAGTTGTTTTACCTTGCAGCTATTCTGATAGAAAGTTGTTTAATTGTTGGCGTGATCGTAACCTGTAATACAATTGAACCCCCAAGCACAATGAACAATTTAGCTACTAAAACTTTTAAGTCTAACTCTATTTTTTGTACTGGAATGACGGTTTCAAAAGTTGAAATCGCAAAGGTTTTTATTTTAGTCTGCAGTATTCCATTTAGTTGTTTTGGCATATAAAAAAATTACAACCATAAAAATATCTAATTTATGTCATTAAAACAGGTTTCACGACCAGAAAACGTACTGTGTTGCAAAGTCCTATGGGAAATGGGAGAAAGTGTCCAGAAAAACTGGACCAATCAAAATCTTGTTTTCTGACCGGTTGTTTTAGATGGTATGTCTCCGAGTGGAGTCGGTGCAGTGCCGAGGTAAGTGAAGTTTTTGTTTGTTCATAGCAACATCAATCTGCACGATGGAGTTGTTCATTGTTGCTGTTTCTAGGCATGTTTTATATGAGGAACAAAAATAATTTTTTGTCCAATACAAGGTATATTATGAATTTTATTCTCTCAGAGAAATACATGAAATTATGTGAATTTATATGTTAATTTAATGTGTCTACATGTCTATATTTCTTACAGAAGGGGGTATGTGGGTCTGGGATACAGGACAGAAATGTCTCTTGTCTCACTGATGATGGCAGACCTGTCAACTCTTCCAAATGTCCAGTAGATCAAGAAAAATTAGTTATGCAGGTGAGAACAGAAACCAGGAAACATATGCTGATGTTTGTTTAGGAAATGTGCACAGATAAATTATAAGGAGGCTAAATGTTTAGTTTAATTGTTATATTTGTGCTACCTCGTTACATATTTGTGCCAGCCCGGTACATGTTTGTTTTAATTGTTATATTTGTGCTACCCTGGTTCATGTTTGTTCGCTGAAGAAGACTTCTTGACAACGTAATCGTTATTGACCCTTGTTTCACATATTTCCTTCTACCTATCCTGACTGTGGTCTCCCCCCCCCCCTCCCACCCAACCTATCATCATTTTATAGGATAATATCTTTCCCCCATCCCTGAACAATGCCTTCTCCTCATTTTCCTGGAAAATATCTTTACCTCCACTTCCTTGACAATACTTTCCCCTGGTCGTCCGTCAGATCTTCCTGAATAACTTCCTACTGGCATAGAAGATGTGGAAAGAGGGGACTGTCCACGTTGAGAAGCAATTATTTTGGGCGACATTTTGGGTTCTCTTCATAAACTTAAAATAGCTTATTAGTTAGTGAATTCTTTTTTTCTTTGAACAAAAGAGTCGAAAAAAAAAGCGCTGTACCGTGAGTCACCAACTGTAGCTAATCCGCTGTACTGTGAGTCACCAACGGTAGCTAATCCACTGTGCAATGAGTCACCAACTGTAGCTAATCCACTGTACTTTGAGTCACCAAATGTAGCTAATCTGCTGTACCATGAGTCATCAACTGTAGCTAATCCGCTGTACCGTGAGTCACAAACTTAGCTAATCCGCTGTACCGTGAGTCACCAACTGTAGCTAATTTGCTGTACCATGAGACACCAACTGTAGCTAATCCACTGTACCATGAGTCACCAACTGTAGCTAATCTGCTGTACCATGAGTCACCAACTGTAGCTAATCCACTGTACCGTGAGTCACCAACTTAGCTAATCTGCTGTACCGTGAGTCTTCAACTGTAGCTAATCCGCTGTGGCGTGATTCACCAACTGTAGCTAATCCCATGTACCTTTCCCTCACACCTGGACAATATCAATCAGCCTCCTGCCTTGTATGAAATCTCTGGAATTATCTTTCCCCAACCCCCTTCATTTTTACCCCCAACCCCCTTCTTTTTACCCCAACCCCCTTCTTTTTACCCCAACCCCCTTCTTTTTAACCCAACCACTTTTTACCCCCACCACTTTTTACCCCAACCCCTTTTTACCCCTCAACCCCCTTCTTTTTATCCCAACCCCCTTCTTTTNCAACCCCCTTCTTTTTACCCCAACCCCCTTCTTTTTACCCCAACCCCCTTCTTTTTAACCCAACCACTTTTTACCCCCACCACTTTTTACCCCAACCCCTCTTTACCCCTCAACCCCCCTCTTTTTATCCCAACCCCCTTCTTTTTACCCCTTACCCCCTTCTTTTTACCCCAACCCCTTCCTTTTTACCCCCAATCCTCTTCTTCTTCTTCTATATATATATATTAAGGGTCCACAATCAATTCATTTATCATTTTGGCTCCTATGCATGTAGAGGGGATTTGCAATGTTTCTGTGCCTGGTGCTGATGAGGATATTTCAATGATTACAAGTGCTACTTTGTGAAGGAATCATGCAATTGGGGTTTGAAGGCTTGAGGCAATAGACACAAATGAGTCTAGCGTTGTCGCCTCAACTGTTCCTTTTGAAAGCTTGTTCCAGTCCCTGATTGTCTTGGGAAGGAATGAGCAGCTCCTATACTGGCTTCTTGCTGGTATGAGCCGGAACTGCCTGTCATGGCCTCGTCGCTGTCTATGGGGGAGAGGGACGAGTTTCTGTTTAATACTGGAACAGTGGACCAGCCCATTATTTATCTTGTACATTATTTATCTTCTTTTTACCCCCAACCCCCTTCTTTTTACCCCCAACAACTTTCTTTTTACCCCAACACCCTACTTTTTAAATCTATCCTGGGAATAAATACAACTGTTTACATTAGAAAGTGAGACACTAAACGTTAGAAAGTGAGACACTAAACATTAGAAAGTGAGACACTAAACATTAGAAAGTGAGACACTAAACGTTAGAAAGTGAGACACTAAACATTAGAAAGTGAGACACTAAACATTAGAAAGTGAGACACTAAACATTAGAAAGTGAGACACTAAACATTAGAAAGTGAGACACTAAACATTAGAAAGTGAGACACTAAACATTAGAAAGTGAGACACTAAACATGAGATTGTCTTAAAACTTTGTGTCCTCAGACATCCCGTCCATGTCATGTGCCTTGCCCTGGTGAATGTTTCCTATCCGACTGGTCAGCCTGGTCCATGTGTTACATTAGCTGTGAGGACTTTCAGCAAGGTAGGGCGATGTAACATTTTTACTGGGAATTTCTTGTCAAACAATCCTGACATGTCAATGACTTAAACAATCCTGACATGTCAATGACTTAAACAATCCTGACATGTCAATGACTTAATCAATCCTGACATGTCAATGACTTAAACAATCCTGACATGTCAATGACTTAAACAATCCTGACATGTCAATGACTTTTTCTTGAATGAAAGTTTAAATAACTGTATGCTGAAAAATAGTTTATAAGCCTGAGGAAATATTGTGTATGTTGGGGAGAGAAGGGGTCTCATAAATTTTGTATGTTGGGGAGAGAAGGGGTCTCATAAATTGTGTATGTTGGGGAGAGAAGGGGTCTCATAAATTGTGTATGTCTGGGAGAGAAGGGGTCTCATAAATTGTGTATGTCAGGGAGAGAAGGGGTCTCATAAATTGTGTATGTCTGGGAGAGAAGGGGTCTCATAAATTGTGTATGTCGGGGAGAGAAGGGGTCTCATACATTGTGTATGTTGGTGAGAGAAGTGGTTCTTATAATGCAGTGGTTTCGTTAAAATGTATAACTAAGTGGAAGAGATGAGAAATTGAAGGACAAATCATATAACATCATGTCTAGCCAATTACTTACTTTGAGTAATACAATAAGTTGTTTAAAATCCAAGTTTTGAAAGTTCAATTTTGTGTATTCAATAAAAGTTGGGAATTATTTTCTACAGGCATCTGCTTTGTTTTAAAAAAATCTTAGTGACTATATCATGCCTACACATCGTTCATAGAAATTCGTTAGATGAATCTAACGACACAACGTAAGAAACTTTCACTGCAGTATTATTTTTCAATTCATATATTCTCTAAATGTGTCCAGGGTTCAGTCAAGGTGTCCAAGCAAGATCCAGGGCCATCTTGGCTTACCCATCACCTGGCAACCCTCCCTGCAATGGGACGTTATGGGAGGACCAGCAGTGTGAAGCCAACCACTGCACATTTTTCCGGTGGATAACAGGTGACTGGGATCCCAGGACCTGGACAAGGATGGTGGCTTGTGAGAGACAAGATGGACTCAGGGTCATAGGTCAGTCTAATTTTGGTTGGTTTTGTATGAGATGTGAGTGACCTTAGGGTCATTGGTCAGACTTAAATGGTCATATGTGTGTTTGTGTGTGGGAGTTGATAGTGGGAATGTGATGTCAGCACTTTGCAGAGAGGAACATCAAGATTCATTTAGGCAGGTGTGGTCAACCCAAATGACTTTATGGGTCACTTGGATTGCATGTTAACTCTTCACAAGCCACTTGGATTGCATGCTGGGTGCATATCACTAACAAAGAAAATAATACTAAATGACGCACACAGATTTATTTTTGTATTATTAATAATACATCCATTCGTGCTGGAACACACATATATAAATTGTTATTTTTAGATTTAAATTCGAAATATAGCTTTTATTATATTTCTGTACTCTCAGAGTTTTACTTTAGATTAAAAATTGTGCCAGTCATTGTTACTTGCATCACGGAAGTTGGAGCGGTGGAGTGAAAATTGAGGATGCCCACCATGTTGTCCCAGTGAAATTGGGGGAGCCATTTGGGCATGCGGCTAAGATTCTCTCACAAAAGTTAGTTGATATTCCAAAATGCAAGAATACATTTTGGTGCATTCTTGAAAATTGGTTTGAATCATTCTATACAACTGGAGAACGGTAGAAGAAATTCTAGTGTTAATGTAGGTGTTTATACAGGGTGGGCCAAAAAAAGTGAGAACATCTCGTAAAATATTACGCTACGAGATGTTCTCACTTTTATTGGCCCACCCTGTATAAATTCTTCATAAGTTTTGTATTTACTAAAAATTAACATTATTTTAAAATTTTTAAGAGTCAAGATTAATAATTTGTGTCTAAGGTTTTACAAACCACAATAACAGGTGTAAAAACAATGGCACATACCGTCACAAAAAGTGCTTTAAATATATTTTAAATGAGCTTTTTTCACACGAACGAAAATAATCGCTAATCAAAACAAGAAATAAGTTTATTTGTGGTACATTTGACAAGCCACAAAGTTAAGCTCTGGCATCATGGGGTTGGCCTCCCCTGCAGTAAGGCTAGGGGCATTAAAGTTGTTGTGATTAAAAAAAATGTGTGATATTTATTTTCAAATTATTTCAGGGTTGATCAACTTTGAGCTTTTAAGACATGCTTCACATTGTGGTTAAGAAGCTTGGAAGCACTGCATTGTAATTAATCAATATCTCTATAACTCATTGTAAGGAATTAATGGGAACAAAATGCTTTCAACCTTCATAGTGAAGCTGTTTCAAGCTGTTTTCTTAAATGTTGAAACATTTACGAGGTCATAGGAAATAACATGGATTATATCTCCATTGAACTTCATTACATCAATTACAGAGATAACATGTGGAAACTATCACCACATCATTGATAAGGTTTCCATGTGGAAGCTATCACCACATCATTGATAAGGTTTCCATGTGGAAGCTATCACCACATCATTGATAAGGTTTCCATGTGGAAGCTATCACATCATTTATAAGCATTGCATGTGGAAGCTATCACCACATCATTGATAAGGTTTCCATGTGGAAGCTATCACCACATCATTTATAAGGATTGCATGTGGAAGCTATCACCACATCATTGATAAGGTTTCTATGTGGAAGCTATCACCACATCATTGATAAGGTTTACATGTGGAACCTATCACCACATCATTGATAAGGTTTCCATCTGGAAGCTATCACCACATCATTGATAAGGTTTCCATTTGGAAGCTATCACCACATCATTGATAAGGTTTCCATTTGGAAGCTATCACCACATCATTTATAAGGATTGCATGTGGAAGCTATCACCACATCATTGATAAGGTTTACATGTGGAAGCTATCTCCACATCATTGATAAGGTTTACATGTGGAAGCTATCACCACATCATTGATAAGGTTTACATGTGGAAGCTATCACCACATCATTGATAAGGTTTACATGTGAAAGCTATCTCCACATCATTGATAAGGTTTCCATGTGGAAGCTATCACCTCATCATTTATAAGGTTTACATGTGGAAGCTATCACCTCATCATTTATAAGGTTTCCATGTGGAAGCTACCACCACATCATTTATAAGGTTTACATGTGGAAGCTATCACCACATCATTGATGAGGTTTACATGTGGAAGCTATCACCACATCATGTATAAGGTTTACATGTGGAAGCTATCACCACATAATTGATGAGGTTTACATGTGGAAAATATGAGACATTTTGATTTGGGGAAACTCAATGTTGTTAATTTAAATAAGATTTGATGGTATTCTTGAAATCAAATGCAGCAAGAGAGACAACCTGTGAAACATAGTCCCGTTTTCAGTATCTTCATTTGCATCCCTTTTAAAAGGGGTGTTACCATAAACTAACAAGGTAGCATTTCAGGGGGTGGGAGCATTCCAGGGAATGCAGTGCAGCATTTCAGGGTGTGCAAAGTAGCATTTCAGGGAGTGCAAGGTAGCATTTCAGGGGGTGTAAGGTAGTATTTCAAGGATGCAATGTAGCATTTTAGAGTGTGCAAAGTAGCATTAAATTATATTTAACAGTAGCCAGTGTGCCCTCATTAAATATGTCTCACAGTAGCCAGAGTGCCCTCATTAAATATATTTCAGCCGCCAGTGTGCCCTCATTAAATATGTCTCACAGTAGCCAGAGTGCCCTCATTAAATATATTTCAGCCGCCAGTGTGCCCTCATTAAATATGTCTCACAGTAGCCAGAGTGCCCTCATTAAATATATTTCAGCCGCCAGTGTGCCCTCATTAAATATGTCTCACAGTAGCCAGAGTGCCCTCATTAAATATATTTCAGCTGCCAGTGTGCCCTCATTAAATAAATTTCAGCCGCCAGAGTGTCCTCGTTAAATATATTTCACATTTGCCAGTTTTTCCTCTGTGTACTAAATATTAGTGAGAAGACAGTGACAAACTGACAAGTGTCAGCATGTGTTGACTTCTATCGTCAAACTGACAAGTGTCTGCATGTGTTGACTTCTATCGTCAAACTGACAAGTGTCAGCATGTGTTGACTTCTATCGTCCACAACGATTAAGCATGCTGTAGAGTTAGTTATTGTGTATTGAGTCGGTTTTGTGTGTGACTTTCGTTCTAGTTACATAAGATTGCTGTAGTGAGGAGATCCACCAGAAACTGTTGACTGAGATTCGTGCTCATCTTCCCAACTATTGTTTCTGAGTAAACTCTCTCTTCTTGAACCATTTATGTTTATTTATTTTTTTCATTTACCCTTCATACAATCTTCTTGTCATACAATCTTCCCATCACACAATCTTCCCATCATACTATCCTCCCATCATACAATCTTCTAGTCATACAATCTTCCGATAACACAATCTTCCCATCATACAATATTTCCATCTTACAATCTTCCTATCATAAAATCTTCCCATCACACAATCTTCCCTTTATGTCTCATGACTTTTCTGCACTTGCCGACCATGTCAGCTCATCTTGATTCTTATTGGAAACATTCAAGGGAGAGCAATCGTGTAGCCGAAATTTCCAGCCATATAGAAAATTCAATAAGACATGAAACCCCCACCACCCCCACTCACCAGCCAACCCCCTTTTTATCACATTCCATCATGCCCCCCCCCCAACCACGTGCCGACATCCTACTTATACACACATAAAGAACTCATAAAATTGTCACGAATGATGTGATAAAATGTCAACATGACATGATATTTCCTATGCCGCCCGAGAGGTGTCTGTTTAAGACTTTTGAGTGCAAAGTTTCCAACCAGAGCTGACATCGCACAGATTTGAAAACCGTCCGTAGTTAATGTGACGTAATATCCGGTTGTGTTTCCCTAGTAACGTGGTAATGGCGAATATGAGTGACAGGCAAGACTAAAGATTGAGCATTACATGATAGGGGTCTAGAACTTTTGAAGGGGCATTTCGTAATAGGGGTCTAGGACTTTTGGGTGGAACATTACGTGATTGGGGTCCAGGACTTTTGGGGGGAAAGAGATGACCTAGAAAGAGATTTCGGAATAGTTGGACAACTGTTAGTCCAGTGGTCGGCAAATCGCGGCTCGCGAGCCGCATGCGGCTCTTTAGCGACCTGAGTACGTCTCGCCCAGTCGGCCACAAATCGGGTTTGACTCCAAAAAACATTGTTCTTGAAAAGACATTTGGCTCTCAAACATTTTTTAATCGTCTTGTTGCTGATTTTTGGCTCTTTTGACTAATGAGTTTGCCGACCACTGTGTGAGCCTCTGTAGCTTTTCTTATGACTTTTAGCACGCCTTAATCATGGGTAGGCTTCAAGAATTCGCCATTCATCTCGGTCCTGCGCTTTCCTTTCCAGTTGCTTCCAGGTGTATCCCATACTTTGTTAGTCTGCCTCTAGCTCGTGTCTCAATGTATTCGGTGGCCGTCCCTATCTTCAATTTTCTCCGTGGATTCCATGTTAGGGATTGTCTGGTGGTGTTATCTGGGGGTTTATGAATAGTGTGCCCTCTCCACCTCCATCTTTGCCGTGTGATGTCTTCAGCAATAGGCTCCTGTTATCTCCTTTCCATTAAGTCTTTGTTGATGATGTTGGCCAATTGATGCACATGATCTTGGGGACTTTTGGGACATTTTTGGAATAGTTGGACCATTGGAAATCTTGGGGACAAAAAACGACATTTAATATTTGGACAAATGGTGGTCTTGGGGACTTATCAGGACATTTTGGCATTGCTGATCAACTGATGGGCTTAGGGACATTTAAGGACTTTTTGCAATAGTTGGACAACTGTAAGTCTTGGAAACATATAAGACATTTGCAATAGTCGGACCATTGTAAATCTTGGGTACATATAAAGACATTTTGAAATAGTTGGACAATTGTAAATCTTGGGTACATATAAGAACATGTCGTTTATTATAAATGCCCAAATGTCATTAGATGTTTTGAAGATGGTGGTGGGGGGGTGGTTGGTTGTTGGAGTGGGTAAGGGATCAATTGACTGCAGTACTCTCTGTGTTTTATGTTATGAACCTTATTATGTTTTCACACATTTTATTGAACACACTATTGATTAATCAACTGAATATGAAGACAACAAAAAAATATGATATTGACAAAATAAATGTGAACTTGAATCTAAATAAGGAGTCATCTTTTGAAATGCCAATCTTCTGATGTCTCATCATCTGTTGTCTCATCATCTGATGTCTCATCATCTGTTGTCTCATCATCTACTGTCTCATCATCTGATGTCTCATCATATATTGTCTCATCATCTGTTGTCTCATCATTTATTGTCTCATCATCTGCTGTCTCATCATCCGTTGTCTCATCATCTGTTGTCTCATCATCTACTGTCTCATCATCTGATGTCTCATCATATATTGTCTCATCATCTGTTGTCTCATCATCCGTTGTCTCATCATCTGTTGTCTCATCATCCGTTGTCTCATCATCTACTGTCTCATCATCTGTTGTCTCAGCATCTGTTGTCTCATCATCTGTTGTCTCATCATCTGTTGTCTCATCATCTGTTGTCTCATCATCTGTTGTCTCATCATCTGTTGTCTCATCATCTGTTGTCTCATCATCTGATGTCTCATACATTTATTGTCTCAACATCTGTTGTCTCATCATCTGTTGTCTCATCATCTGTTGTCTCATCATCTGTTGTCCCATCATCTGTTGTCCCATCATCTGTTGTCTCATCATCTGTTGTCTCATCATCTGTTGTCTCATCATTTATTGTCTCATCATCTGTTGTCTCATCATCTGTTGTCTCATCATCTGTTGTCTCATCATCTGTTGTCTCATCATCTGATGTCTCATCATTTATTGTCTCATCATCTGTTGTCTCATCATCTGTTGTCTCATCATCTGTTGTCTCATCATCTGTTGTCTCATCATCTGATGTCTCATCATCTGTTGTCTCATCATCTGTTGTCTCATCATCTGTTGTCTCATCATCTGTTGTCTCATCATCTGATGACTCATCATCTGTTGTCTCATCATCTGTTGTCTCATCATCTGTTGTCTCATCATCTGTTGTCTCATCTGCTGTCTCATCATCTGCTGTCTCATCATATGTGGTCTCATCATCTGTTGTCTCATCATCTGTTGTCTCATCATATGTTGTCTCATCATCTGTTGTGTCATCATCTGTTGTCTCATCATCTGTTGTCTCATCATATATTGTCTCATCATCTGTTGTCTCATCATCTGTTGTCTCATCATCTGTTGTCTCATCATCTGTTGTCTCATTAAAATAAACCCATTAAAGAAATCCCACAGTCATTTTAAAAAACGTTTAACACAAGACAAATAGGCAATGAACATTGAGTCCAAGAAAAGAGGAGACAGTCCAGGGTGGGACAGATGGGGCGTCCAGGGTGGGACGGATAGGTCATTCGAGGTGGGAAGAATGGGGGGTGGGACAACGGAAGATGGGACGGTGCCAGCGCGAGACAACTTTGATCAACTTGGCTCTGGTTATCAAGCCGTCTCGGCTGGCTCCCACTCTTAGTTTTGTGAGCCGAGCCATCGTGCGCTCCCAGTAGAGGGAGTTTTGTGGAGGGAGTTTTCGTGTGTGGTAAATCGGTATTCATCGTGTTGAGAACGCTCGCTTATCGTCTGCTCGCTCTGCGTGGCCGGGAAAAGAAAAGGACTCTTAGGTCTACAGTGCCACTAGTTAAGGCGTTCAATGCGGGCCAGTACCCGAGAGATAGATTTTGACCTTTTCAGCTCATGCCACTAGATAGGTCGACTGTGCTGTGTTAGGCGCACTCTGTCAAAGTATCAAACTTTTGTGGGATAACCGCAGGTGATAGTGACATTGTGTTTATTGAGCCAACTGAACTGCTGGTGATTCTGACATTGTGTTTATTGAGTCAACTGTTGGTGATACTGACATTGTGTTTGTTGAGCCAACTGAACTGCTGGTGATTCTGACATTGTGTTTATTGAGCCAACTGAACTGCTGGTGATTCTGACATTGTGTTTATTGAGCCAACTGAACTGCTGGTGATTCTGACATTGTGTTTTTTGAGTCAACTGTTGGTGATACTGACATTGTGTTTATTGAGCCAACTGAACTGCTGGTGATTCTAACATTGTGTTTTTTTGACATTGTGTTTAGTAAATAAAGTTCTGCGTTGGATTTAAACGTAAGTAGTAAATAAACATGAATGTGTGACCTATTCGTTAGTTGTATACCTCAAATGGTTGCTTGCGTTGGACTGGTCTATGTCCTGATAGTTAGTTGTATACCTAAAATGGTGCTTGTGTTGGACTGGTCTATGTCCTGATAGTTAGTTGTATACCTCAAATGGTGCTTGTGTTGGACTGGTCTATGTCCTGATAGTTAGTTGTATACCTCAAATGGTGCTTGTGTTGGACTGGTCTATGTCCTGATAGTTAGTTGTATATCTCAAATGGTTGCTTGCGTTGGACTGGTCTATGTCCTGATAGTTAGTTGTATACCTCAAATGGTTGCTTGCGTTGGACTGGTCTATGTCCTGATAGTTAGTTGTATACCTCAAATGGTTGCTTGCGTTGGACTGGTCTATGTCCTGATAGTTAGTTGTATACCTCAAATGGTGCTTGCGTTGGACTGGTCTATGTCCTGATAGTTAGTTGTATACCTCAAATGGTGGCTGGCGTTGGACTGGTATATGCCCTGATAGTTAGTTGTATACCTAAATGTTGGACTGTTCTATGTCCTGATAGTTAGTTGTATACCTCAAATGGTTGCTTGCGTTGGACTGGTTTATGTCCTGATAGTTAGTTGTATACCTCAAATGGTGCTTGCGTTGGACTGGTCTATGTCCTGATAGTTAGTTGTATACCTCAAATGGTTGCGTGCGTTGGACTGGTATATGTCCTGATAGTTAGTTGTATACCTAAAATGGTGCTTGTGTTGGACTGGTCTATGTCCTGATAGTTAGTTGTATACCTCAAATGGTGCTTGTGTTGGACTGGTCTATGTCCTGATAGTTAAATGTATACCTCAAATGGTTGCTTGCGTTGGACTGGTCTATGTCCTGATAGTTAGTTGTATACCTCAAATGGTGCTTGTGTTGGACTGGTCTATGTCCTGATAGTTAGTTGTATACCTCAAATGGTGCTTGTGTTGGACTGTCTATGTCCTGATAGTTAGTTGTATACCTCAAATGGTTGCTTGCGTTGGACTGGTCAATGTCCTGATAGTTGTATACCTCAAATGGTTGCTTGCGTTGGACTGGTCTATGTCCTGATAGTTTGTTGTATACCTCAAATGGTGCTTGTGTTGGACTGGTCTGTGCCCTGATAGTTGTTTCCCTCAAATGGTTGCTTGCGTTGGTCTAGTCTATGTCCTGATAGTTAGTTGTATACCTCAAATGGATGGTTGTGTTGGACTGGTCTATGTCCTGATAGTTAGTTGTATACCTCAAATGGATGGTTGTGTTGGACTGGTCTATGTCCTGATAGTTAGTTGTATACCTAAAATGGATGGTTGTGTTGGACTGGTCTATGTCCTGATAGTTAGTTGTATACCTCAAATGGTTGCTTGTCTTGGACTGGTCTATGTCCTGATAGTTAGTTGTGTACCTCAAATGGATGGTTGTGTTGGACTGGTCTATGTCCTGATAGTTGTATACCTCAAATGGATGGTTGTGTTGGTCTGGTCTATGTCCTGATAGTTAGTTGTATACCTCAAATGGATGGTTGTGTTGGACTGGTCTATGTCCTGATAGTTAGTTGTATACCTCAAATGGATGGTTGCGTTCGACTGGTCTATGTCCTGATAGTTAGTTGTATACCTCAAATGGATGGTTGTGTTGGTCTGGTCTATGTCCTGATAGTTAGTTGTATACCTCAAATGGATGGTTGCGTTGGACTGGTCTATGTCCTGATAGTTAGTTTTATACCTCAAATGGTGCTTGTTTTGGACTGGTCTATGTCCTGATAGTTAGTTGTATACCTCAAATGGATGGTTGTGTTGGTCTGGTCTAGTTCCTGATAGTTAGTTGTATACCTCAAATGGTTTCGTGTGTTGGACTGGTCTATGTCCTGATAGTTAGTTGTATACCTCAAATGGTTGTGTGTTGGACTGGTCTATGTCCTGATAGTTAGTTGTATACCTCGAATGGTTTCGTGTTTTGGGCTAATGGGCATACATTAAAAACATTTTTTAAGAACGGTAAATGTTTCATCTTTTCTTAGATTGTAAGTGGACATTAATAAATGCGACTGGAAATTTGCTGACATTGAAACAGTGTTGTCGGTCTTAAGTTGATTGTTTAAAAATTATCTTGAGGTTTTTAACTCATTTTTCGACGTGTTAAAAGGTGATATCTTGATGTGTTTAAAATGGATATATCGAAGTGTTTAAATATGATATCTTGAGGTGTTTAAAATGGATATTTCGAGGTGTTTAATTTAATATCTTGAGGTGTAATAAAGTGATATCTTTTAGTGCATAAGAGTGAAATCTTAAGGCCCATTAACTAAGAGTTTGCATCATTCAAAACTATAAGAAAGATATCATTGAAGTAATGCTACAGTTAGATGAGATCTAAAAAAATCTCGATGTGATTGATAACTGAATGGTTCAAGTGAAATGTTGGTGAAATTGAAAATTACGCTTGAGATGTACATATAGATGTACCTCGGTATACAGCCTTAATCCGTTCCAGATCCTTGGACTTATTCCAAACAGGACGTATACCAAACAGGACTTATTCCAAACAGGACGTATACCAAACAGGACGTATACAAAACAGGACTTATACCAAACTGGAGGTATACCAAACAGGACGTATACCAAACGTATTTTCCCCATAAGAAATAAAGTGAAAATGATTAATCCGTTCCCATTTTAAAAAAATCATACTTCTATTGGCTCATTTTACATTTATTGACGTGGTTGTATAAAATACTTTAAACACTGCTTAATATTAATATACATTAATAAATGACCTTAGGTGAAATAAATGAAAATTTAACCTCACTTTACCTGGGTGAGAAGCGTCAAGTGCTTACTAACTAATATGGGTGCTGAGAAGGAGGAGATGTTATGGCTTTGAAGCAGAGTCCGCTTCCAATAAAACTTCAGGAATACGACAGTCTGTTTTTTCTTTTCTTTTTGGCTGTCTCTTTGAACTAGTTGACCCTGGCTGAGGCTCACCAGGTTTGACTTTTACTAACAATCTGTCTCAACAGCTTTGCTTCTGACTTCTCCTCGGGATGTTTCGAAATTGTGACAGTGTCGGGTCATTCCAGGCAATGCTGTTACGACTTCTTTGGGCTTTGTTGGGGTGGTACTTCTCTGCAAAGATTTTGACATCCATCCATTTAGCAAAGATTTGCTTTATTAATGAAGTAGGAGCCTCCTCTATCTCCTCCTCCTCAAAGCATGAAGAGAGTGCATTCATCCTAGTCTTGTGCTCATCCTTCTCAAGTTCCTGCACCTCCCCAGTTGTCAGCTCTTCCATGTGCATCGCCACTAACTCCTCCACATCAAATTCATTACGCATGCGCAATGTGTAATTTTGACACATACAAGTTCTAGCACGCACGCGGGTCGTATTTCAAACCAAGCAAAATGTTTATCGTCCAAACAGGACGCATACCAAGTTGGACTTATTCCAAAGCGGACATATACCGTGGTATCACTGTATATACATTATTAAGTCTAAGAACGTATATATGTGATATGAATAGATATGAATATATTTTATTATTTGACCGATTACAAGTTGCAGTTAATGGATATGAGGTGAGAGGTGAAGGTGGTAATCTCTAGCCGATGATTCTTACTATGCAGCCCTGATAAGCTGCTCCAAGGCAACCGTTTCGTCCAAGCTACTTCGCAAACTAGTAGCGTGGTGGAAACCCACTGTAGAAACTCTCTTAAAGGGCGTCACACGCTTCTCCTCGATGAGTGGGGGGGGGGAGAGAGATTAGGACGTAAATCTACCATCCCAGCTGCTGAGAAAGTCGATCGTGTGCAAACACAGTGTCGGACCGACCGGTTGTCTTTGGGTTGGGGCGGCCCCCACCGGAACCCGATCGAGCGGACTCGGGTAGGGGCTGTTCTGGCAAAGAGGCATCTCCAACTTACCGCTTCGCGGCCCGATACCCGGCTTAGGGGGGAGGGTTGCTTTGGGGAGGGCATAAAGAGCATTAGCTTGACGGCTCGCTGACGCCATTTATTAATGTGACATTTGACCGATAAAAACATGTGATTGTATGAGATATTAATTGATATGATTGTCTAACGATGAAGTGGTGTGATATTATGAGAGGTGAATAGAAGTGATTGTACGAGAGATGAATTGGTGTGATATTATGAGAGGTGAATAGAAGTGATTGTACGAGAGATGAATTGGTGTGATTGTATGAGAGGTGAATAGAAGTGATTGTACGAGAGATGAATTGGTGTGATTGTATGAGAGGTGAATAGAAGTGATTGTACGAGAGATGAATTGGTGTGATTGTATGAGAGGTGAATAGAAGTGATTGTGCGAGAGATGAATTGGTGTGATTGTATGAGAGGTGAATAGAAGTGATTGTACGAGAGATGAATTGGTGTGATTTTATGAGAGGTGAATAGAAGTGATTGTATGAGAGATGAATTGATGTGATTGTATGAGAGATGAATTGATGTGATTGTATGAGATATGAATTGATGTGATTGTAGAAGAGATGCATTGATGTGATTGTCAATGAAAGATGACGATTTGATTGTAGGAGAGATGAATTGAAGCGAGTGTCATTAACAGATAATCGATGAAATTGTCTCAGAGATGAATTGATGTTATTGTATGAGAGATGAATTCAAGTGATTTTATGAGAGAGGAAATGATTTGAATTTCTGAGAGATGAATTGGTGTGATTGTATGAGAGATGAATAGATATGATTGTATGAGAGGTGAATAGATGTACTTGTTTGAGAGATGAATTGATGTGATTGTATGAGATAAAATACATTTGTTTTAATGGACTTTCATTATAGAGTATAGATGTTTGGATCGGTAAGGAGAGTTTCATTTATTCTGAAAAAAACGAAGAGAAAATGCAGGACGGATCTCACAACATTAACTTGATGGGTCTTTGCCTAAATAGCAAGTTGTGGTTTGAGACATACTGTTTGGAAAAAATACACGAATAATAGGACACCATAAAATATTATAGGAACAGGGCAGCATTTTATCACACAAGAATATAAGGAAAATAAAAATAAGTTCTGATGATTTAAAAAAAAAGCCTCCGTCCAGAAGCGTCATTGTCTCTACTTTATAGCTCGACTTGACGTGGCGTTTTCAGTTCAATCAATTCTTTCTTTCTGCAACTCGACTTGACGTGGCGTTTTCAGTTCAATCAATTCTTTCTTTCTGCAACTCGACTTGACGTGGCGTTTTCAGTTCAATCAATTCTTTCTTTCTGCAACTCGACTTGACGTGGCGTTTTCAGTTATATCAAATCTTTCTTTCTGCAACTCGACTTGACGTGGCGTTTTCAGTTCAATCAGTTCTTTCTTTCTGCAACTCGACTTGACGTGGCGTTTTCAGTTATATCAAATCTTTCTTTCTGCAACTCGACTTGACGTGGCGTTTTCAGTTATATCAAATCTTTCTTTCTGCAACTCGACTTGACGTGGCGTTTTCAGTTCGATCAATTCTTTCTTTCTGCAACTCGACTTGACGTGGCGTTTTCAGTTCAATCAGTTCTTTCTTTCTGCAACTCGACTTGACGTGGCGTTTTCAGTTCAATCAGTTCTTTCTTTCTGCAACTCGACTTGACGTAGCGTTTTCAGTTCAATCAATTCTTTCTTTCTGCAACTCGACTTGACGTGGCGTTTTCAGTTCAATCAGTTCTTTCTTTCTGCAACTCGACTTGACGTGACGTTTTCAGTTCAATCAATTCTTTCTTTCTGCAACTCGACTTGACGTGACGTTTTCAGTTCAATCAATTCTTTCTTTCTGCAACTCGACTTGACGTGACGTTTTCAGTTCAATCAATTCTTTCTTTCTGCAACTCGACTTGACGTGACGTTTTCAGTTCAATCAATTCTTTCTTTCTGCAACTCGACTTGACGTGACGTTTTCAGTTATATCAAATCTTTCTTTCTGCAACTCGACTTGACGTGGCGTTTTCAGTTCAATCAGTTCTTTCTTTCTGCAACTCGACTTGACGTGGCGTTTTCAGTTCAATCAGTTCTTTCTTTCTGCAACTCGACTTGACGTAGCGTTTTCAGTTCAATCAATTCTTTCTTTCTGCAACTCGACTTGACGTGGCGTTTTCAGTTCAATCAGTTCTTTCTTTCTGCAACTCGACTTGACGTGACGTTTTCAGTTCAATCAATTCTTTCTTTCTGCAACTCGACTTGACGTGACGTTTTCAGTTCAATCAATTCTTTCTTTCTGCAACTCGACTTGACGTGACGTTTTCAGTTATATCAAATCTTTCTTTCTGCAACTCGACTTGACGTGACGTTTTCAGTTCAATCAATTCTTTCTTTCTGCAACTCGACTTGACGTGACGTTTTCAGTTCAATCAATTCTTTCTTTCTGCCCAATTTTCTTCTGTTAAAGAGCGAATTAAAAGTAAAACGTCATCTTTGAATACTGTTATCCACATAGAAACAAAGCACTCATCCCCTTCCAAACATCCTCTTTAACACATCCTCTTCCACAAATCCACTTCCACAAACCCACTTCCACAAATCCACTTCCACACATCCCCTTCCACACATCCCCTTCCACACATCCCCTTCCACACACCCCCTTCCACACATCCCTTTCCACACATCCCCTTCCACACATCCTCTTCCACACATCCATTTCCACACATCCTCTTCCATATATTATCTTCCACACATCCCCTTCCACACATCCTCTTCCACAAATCCTCTTCCACACATCCTCTTCCACAAATCCTCTTCCACACATCCTCTTCCACAAATCCTCTTCCACACATCCTCTTCCACACATCCTCTTCCACAATTTCTTTTCCATATATTCTCTTCCACACATGCTCTTCAACACATGCTCTTCAACACATTCTCTTCCACAATTGCTCTACCATACATCCACTTCCACAAATGCTCTTCCACAAATCCTCTTCCACTATTGTTGAACTATTGTATGAGCTAGACAGTCCGCTATTGTTGCACTGTCTAATCAACTAGACCATGGTTGGGAAAACTATGGCCCGCGGGCCGCATGCGGCCCTGCAACTAATATTATGCGGTCCTCGAAGGCATTTAGAAATTTTTAAAATTACATTGTTGTTAAGTTATTTTGTTGAATTTTACAGATTTTCATGTACCGTTATGATTGTTTCAACATTTTTTGATCAACTTTCTTTCTGATTTCTTTCTATTTTTTAAACAGACCTTGACTTTTGTCATCTAATGCTAAAATACAAATGTACCGAGTTTAATATAGCGAAATGTTTATCGACATGTAAAAATGGGACATAATATCCATGTGGCCCCCAACAGCTTTACAAATAAAATGTTGTAAACATGTTTTACAAATGTAATCATGGAGATATGAGTTCTCACAACTGATTTACGTTACTGCTGTTTGTTGTTTGCGCCCATCGATCGTGGCCTTGACAAGCGGAATGAAATTAGCAATATCGCTGCGTGCATGTCCTTGTGATTTGCAAAGAACATTGAGTTCATGGGCGCCCACGTGTTTTATGATCATATGATTGTAACAACTCTGACGTTTTAAGTGGGGCATTCACTTTATACATTTAGCACATATCTGGAAAAACGTGTATTTTTTTTAAAGATTATGTTTAATTATTTTGGGGGGAGGGTGGGTTGGGGGTACTTTTAAGTCTTGGAAGATTGATGGGAGATGAGGCAGGGGTTTGGAACAAAGGACAGAAATACAGACATGTTTTAAAAAAAGTTCAGTGGTGACCATTACTTTCTGTGGTAAAAATTTTGTTGTCATCGTTGATTGTTATCGGGAAAGAGTAACCATGCGTAATGATTTTTGAAGTATCTGCAGGGGTCACTCAGTGGTCAGTGTGGGTCCTTGGTGACCTAGTGATCATGAAGGCTTGTTTGGTCACCCAGGATAGTTAATTGCAGGTCATGAAGTGGATCAAATTGAGGCGCAAGTTTCCGCCACAAACAAGCAAACAAACAAACAAATAGAGTATATAAAAATAATCGAGTAAGCAATGTGGCATTATTTTCAGGTTGCATGGGATTATTATTATTCTAAACGATATGTAGATTCACTACTCCCAAACGATATGTAGATTCACTATTCGCAAACTATATGTAGATTCACTATTACAAAACTATGTGTAGATTTACTATTCCCAAACTATATGTACATTCACTATTCCAAAACAATATGTAGATTCACTATTCTCAATCTATATTTAGATTCACTATTCCAAAACTATATGAAGACGCCATATAATCAAACTATATATAGACGCACTATTCCAATGCTATATGTATGCGCAATATTTCCAAACTATATGTTACTATTCCAATTCATGTATGTGCACTAATTTCAAACTATATGTTGCTATTCCAATACATGTATATGCACTAATTCCAAACTATATGTTACTATTACAATACATGTATATGCACTAATTCCAAACTCTATGAAGGCGCAGTATTTCCAAACGCTTGATTCAGTTAGTGAGAAATACATTATTCGTTTACCTTCAACTCTAGCAATGTCACCATTTCGATGGCAAGAATGGTCCACTGAGCGTTCAGTCTGATCAAGTCTTGGCGCTGGCCTGATGGTCTACTGAGCGTACAGTCTGATCGAGTCCTGACGCTGGCCTAGAATTTTCTCGAGTTACGGTAGCAGACACTGTCTGACAGAGTCGGAAATCAGTGTCAAGTCTCGCGGCCGTGACTCATGGGAACGAGATGTGATTTTCTCTAATTATTATTGACAGTCGGGTCAACACGTGTGTCCTTAATGAGAGCGGCTGCAACCTGATTTTTAAAGGGGAGAGGTGCATAATTGTAAGGATGAGTCCGATTATTACCTGTTCATGTAAGGTGGGATAATTCTAAGGATGAGACCGACTGCAACGTGTTTTTAAAGGCGGGATAGTTGGAAAGATGTGTTCTATTACAACATGTGTATTAAATATATACTATTCATTAAAGCCTATTGAATATAGACTATTTTTATATAGTATTGATTACTAGCTGAGACAACACAACCACGTTGTGCGTGTAACATTCGGGAAGAAGTGCATAATCAATTTAAAAAATCGTGCACTTGATCTCGTGCGCAACAAAACACACAAAAGAACAGTTTTCCACCTGCTGTGTGCCGACTTGTGGTTGCTCTACTACGCATTGGTGGATATATTGATCGCCATCTGGAATCCCCCCTCTTGTCCATCGGGTATTATTAAATGTAAATAGCAAGATAAAGGATAAATTGCTATTTTAACAAATTAAAAAATAATATGTAATTTTGTGCTGCAAAAGCTTTAGTGGACGAAGCTTAGCTATAAAACCTTTTTAAAAAGGGTTAAAACTGTATTACATTTCTTGAGCTGTGCAGACAACGTCCACCTCGGGAATTATTATTATTGATAAAGTAAAGCCTATAGCATATAGATTATTGCGTAATCAGTATACTGTATAGAGCATTGAGTTTATACTGTATAGAGTAATGAGTATACAAATATAAAGCATTGAGCATATAGTAAAAAGTTTTGAGTATACGGTATTGAATATACATTATGGAGTATTTAATTTATAGGATATAGTACATAGTACATGTGATGTGAAGTACGTTGTCTAGAGGTCGGTCCCCTGCGTACTAGCCACAGAACAATTTTCAAGGGTCTAGAACCCCTTCATTTCTAGCTCCTACAGAGCTGACTCTTGTTCCAAGTATCAAACAAACAATGCAGAGACTCAGTTTTTTCTTATTTATTGGCTATGGGTGTGAACTGGGTGCATTCGTTTTACTCTCCGCTTCGTGATGGTCCCAGCTTGACCTTTGCTCTCAGTTGCCGAATCACCGGAAGAGTCTCATATTTCAATCTAGGCAAGGGAGTGCCCCCCTCTCGCGTTCCTCAGTTCACAGCTTTAGTGTGCCTAACAATGGAAAACTTCATAAGAAATAAGCTCTGGTGTTCAGAATAAAACGTGTCCAGAAAAAACTCCACATACTATACAAAACATAGTTACACAAGTCTTCTTCCATCCGTAGAAAAACTCACTGCCTTCACGAGACAAAAATCATACATCATATCCACAGCGCTCGCCACTGTTCACTCCTTAAAACAACTCATCTCCCTTTTATTTTCACACACTCTTCTCATCACGTGGTTCCTCCCAACACAGCACACCGGTCATACCTGACCGAGAAAAATAAAAACTTGTGGGGCACACGGAAAAAAAACATCATAAAAGCTGACACAGAAAAACTCACACGATCTGACCGTGACAGTACAGAGTATACATTATGCAGTATTGAATAAACAATATAGAGTATTAAGTATGCAGTATTGAGTATAGACTAAAGGAGACTTTAATCATGTTTTCTGTCTTCTAATAAAGCTATGGTTTATTGTACCGCTATATAATCTCGTATATATAGTTTGCTTCTGGTGCGTCCTGCTTTCTCTTTAAAACCACCCCTTCCCTTTTCCAAACTTGACATGTTTTATATTAACAGTACTGGGTAAATAAAAGGATGTGACGCAGCGAGCTGTATGCGTCATGTCTGAACTCCGGTGAATAAGTTGATTTAAATGTCTCTGTTTTTTCACATCTTTGTTCTGGGGCTGCACATCACACAGAACTTGGTCATTGGCCGTACTTTCACTTCCGGCATGTGTGCGCCTGTGAGTCTTTTCCGCATGCTGGTACAGGAAGGTATTGCTATTTTCGCTATACTGCGACTGTTGTTTCGTAAATCTTTGTTATAAAATGAACTACAGTATCTTCTATGTCGACGGGTTTTTGTACAATGTCATCTCTGTTCTGTCATCCAGCAACTGGCAGTTCCTATCAGTTCGTTATTTCTTGACAAAAACGGTTTTTTTGAAGGCAGTGCGCTCTCACTGTGGGAAGTGGGTTTCGTTGCATTTTATAGAAAATGCGAAGTTAACTCAAAATACACGGAATCGGTGTAAAAAATCAATCAGGTTAAGCCCTTGTCTTATATATTTATTTATTTTTAATATTACACATATAATGTATTTTGTCATAGAAGAGTAAAAATAAATTAACAACGAAAAACAAGTGAGGGCAGCTTCAGAACAAGATCAGCTTCAGAACAAGATCAGCTTTAGAACAAGATCAGCTTCAGAACGCTTCAGAACAAGATCAGCTTTAGAACAAGATCAGCTTTAGAACAAGATCAGCTTTAGAACATGATCAGCTTCAGAACAAGATCAGTAGATCCTGGCTGAAATCAATAATCCAAGACACTGCTCAAAAATAGTTCCTTTTATGTCAATTTGTTAAAATGTATATTTTTTTAGTGATCGGTGTTGCTTCAGTTATGTCCCTTGCGAGTCTGGTATTCTGGAAATGGAGGAAAGCAAAAAGGAGAACGTTTGTGCCTCATAGATAAAACATTGATTTTTTTTTTTTAAACTTCTGTTGTGTTAGACCTTGATCTATTCCATGAGGATGTTCTTTTGGTTGGTATGATATTAGGTATGACGATAGCTATTATCTTTGATATGAGCTTGAAAAATGGGATGCTTTTAATGGTTAATTCATATGACATTTAAACTTTGAACTTTGAGGCAGTTTTAAGAGACATTGAATTTAAAAAAAACAGTATTTTGCATTAAATTGTTTTCGACCAATATCCAATCCACCAGGCTTTCACTTCCCATAAGGCATCAACTGCCCAGACTATCCATCAGGCACCGACTGCCAAGCCAGTCTATCAGGAACTCATTTCCACCCCATCCATCAGGCGCCCAATACCCTATCCATTAGGAATTTATTGTCCACTCCATCCATCAGGCGCCCAATACCCTATCCATTAGGAATTTATTGTCCACTCCATCCATCAGGCACCCAATACCCTATCAATTAGGAACTAATGGTCCACCCCATCCACCAGGCACCCAATGCCCTATCAATTAGGAACTAATGGTCCACTCCATCCATCAGGCACCCAATGCCCTATCAATTAGGAACTAATGGTCCACTCCATCCACCAGGCACCCAATGCCCTATCAATTAGGAACTAATGGTCCACTCCATCCATCAGGCACCCAATGCCCTATCAATTAGGAACTAATGGTCCACTCCATCCACCAGGCACCCAATGCCCTATCAATTAGGAACTAATGGTCCACTCCATCCATCAGGCACCCAATGCCCTATCAATTAGGAACTAATGGTCCACTCCATCCACCAGGCACCCAATGCCCTATCAATTAGGAACTTATCGTCCACTCCATCCATCAGGCGCCCAATAAACTATACTTCAGGAACTTATTGTCCACTCCATCCATCAGGCGCCTAATGACCTATCTTTTAGGAACTTATTGTCCACTCCATCCATCATGCACCCAATGACCTATCCTTTAAGAACTTATTGTCCACTCCATCCATCAGGCACCCAATGCCCAATCCATCAGATACCCAACGCGCCATCCATCAGGCACCCAGTGCTTATCCGTCAGCCACCCAATGTCCTATCCATCAGACACCCAGTGTCCCATCCATCAGGCACCCAATGCCCTATCCATCAGGCATGCAATGCCCTATCCATCAGACACACAATGCCTTATCCGTCAGGCACCCAATGCCCCATCCATCAGGCACCCAATGCCCTCGTAGGTGTGTGCTTATAACCGAGGAGGACGTATTTAAATTTCAGCCATGATTTCACGTGCAATCAATCACGCTCGTGGCCTCCTGAAAATTCCATCTGCAATAAACACACTTCATATTTTTGCAAGGATCGATTTCACCTCTCTAGAACCGACAGCGAATGTTGGATCAAATAGAATAACAAGTGAGTTGTAGGTTATGTTATGGTGAGTTGAAGGTTATGTTTGGGTGAATTTGAGGTTATGTTATGGTGAGTTGGAGGTTATGTTATGGTGAGTTGAAGGTTATGTTTGGGTGAGTTGGAGGTTATGTTATGGTGAGTTGGAGGTTATGTTATGGTGAGTTGAAGTTATGTTTGGGTGAATTTGAGGTTATGTTATGGTGAGTTGGTGTTTATGTTACGTTGAGTTAGAGGTTATGTTATGGTGAGTTGGTGTTTATGTTACGTTGAGTTAGAGGATATGTTATGGTGAGTTGGAGGTTTTGGTTTTGTGAGTTGTAGGTTATGTTTAGACGCACACCATTAACATACAAAAAACTGAGGTCATATACCAACCAGCTTCTCGAAGCCCTTATGTTGAGCCCAACATCCAAATATATTGCGAAAGACTTAGGTTGTAAAAGGCTCTTCTTATCTCGGCAGTACACTGTGCAAAAGCACAACCATCGATGACGAGGTTAACCTCCATACTGCAAGAACCAGTGCAACCTATGGAAGATTGACTAAGAACGTATGGACCAGGAGAGGTATCGGCACTCAAACAAAACTGAAGGTATATCAGGCGGCTGTTCTTCCTACCTATCTCTATGCCTGTGAAACGTGGACGGTCCACCAACGCCATGCAAGAATACTGAACCACTTTCATACAACAAGACTCATAAAAAATCCTCAACATTAAATGGCAGAACAGGGTCCCAGACGCTGAGGTGCTCACACGGGAAGGTCTCCCCAGCATCTTCACAATCTTAATGAAATCCCAGCTTCGCTGGACGGGACATTTTGTGAGAATGTCAGATGACCGTCTTCTCAAAAGAATTTTCTATGGTGAGCTTGAACAAGGAAAGCGGTCTGCTGGCGGACAGAAAAAAGCGCTTTAAAGACAACATAAAAGCCTCACTGAAAGCGTTCAACATAAACCCAGACACGTGGGAGGAACAAGCAAAGGATCGAACTTCATGGCGCTCTACTTTGCACCGGAGCTCCATGCAACATGAAGTTGGAAAAACAGCGGCTGCAGAGCGCAAGAGATATGCAAGGAAGGCCCGGTCTGACTCTGCTCCCAGAGATGCTCCATCATTCCCCTCCACCTACTGCAAAAGAGAATTTCGTGCCAGAATCGGCCTCGTTAGCTATCTGCGCATCCACAGACAGAACAAGCACAAACTCTGATGATTAAGGGGTCGACTTCTGACTGATGAACACCCAACCATGTTTTAATGAGTTGGAGGTTATGTTTGTCAGCTGCGAGAAAATCATTTAATGATAACGTAGGTGTCCTCACCCGGAATAAAACCATTAAATGAAAAAGTAGTTGCCTCATTTGTAAGAAAACCATTCAATGATAAAGTAGGTGTCCTCAGCTGCAAGAAAACCATTTAATGATAAAGTAGATATCCTCAGCTGCAAGAAAACTATTCAATGATAAAGTAGATATCCTCAGCTGAAAGAAAACTATTCAATGATAAAGTAGATGTCCTCGGCTGCAAGAAAACTATTCAATGATAAAGTAGATGTCCTCGGCTGCAAGAAAACTATTCAATGATAAAGTAAATATCCTCAGCTGAAAGAAAACTATTCAATGATCAAGTAGATATCCTCAGCTGCAAGAAAACCATTCAATGATAAAGAAGAAATAAATGGTTTAACGAAAGATCTTCTAGGCGCTAGATATGTGGCGCTCATTCTCTTATTCTGAGGGTCTCCTAGACACTAGAGATGGGGCGCTCATTCTCTTATTCTGAGGGTCTCCTAGACACTAGAGATGGGGCGCTCATTCTCTTATTCTGAGGGTCTCCTGGACACTAGAGATGGGGCGCTCATTCTCTTATTCTGAGGGTCTCCTAGACACTAGAGATGGGGCGCTCATTCTCTTATTCTGAGGGTCTCCTGGACACTAGAGATGGGGCGCTCATTCTCTTATTCTGAGGGTCTCCTAGACACTAGAGATGGGGCGCTCATTCTCTTATTCTGAGGGTCTCCTAGACACTAGAGATGGGGCGCTCATTCTCTTATTCTGAGGGTCTCCTGGACACTAGAGATGGGGCGCTCATTCTCTTATTCTGAGGGTCTCCTAGACACTAGAGATGGGGCGCTCATTCTCTTATTCTGAGGGTCTCCTAGACACTAGAGATGGGGCGCTCATTCTCTTATTCTGAGGGTCTCCATCTGAGGTACTCAATACAAATGAAACTCAGGACGTCATTACAAACCCGAACAAGAATATTTTTGGTTGCCATTAAACTCTTCTTTGTTGTGGACAGCTTTTTTTTTAAAATTCCTCAAGACATGTCCAAAACTATGCATGCATTTAATCATTCCGTTCACAAGAGAGATGAGTTCTAGAATGAAGAGAGCATTATATTATTTATAACCAGAACCTGAAGTCTTACTGCCCCGAACGGAATATTGTATGTGTTACTCCGCCGAATTATTTCACAGATCGATGCTCATCCGTCAGTTTTTGGCATATAAGAGAGCCACTGGTATGTTAGAGGGCCTCTGGTATGTAAGAGAGCCACTGGTATGTAAGAGAGATAATATTATCTAAGAGAGATTTGGTATGTAAGAGAGATACTGGTGTGTAAGAGAGACTGGTATGTAAGAGAACCACTGGTATGTAAGAGAGACACTGGTAAATAAGGGAGACTCTTGGTATGTAAGAGGGACAATGGTATGTAATAGAGACTCTGGTATGTAAGAGAGATAACGGTATGTAATAGAGACTCTGGTATGTAAGAGAGATAATGGTATGTAAGAGAGACACTGGTAAGTAAGAGAGAAAATGGAATGTAGAAGAGCCACTGGTGTGTAAGAGAGACTCTGGTGTGTAAGAGAGACACTGGTGTGTAAGAGAGACTATGGTGTGTAAGAGAGACTCTGGTGTGTAAGAGAGGCACTGGTGTGTAAGAGAGACTGGTGTGTAAGAGAGACACTGGTGTGTAAGTGAGACACTGGTTTGTAAAAAATGCCGCAACTTCGTGTTTACCGACCCACTGGTTTGTAAAGTGTAGTGAGACACTGGTATGTAAGAGAGACACTGGTGTGTAAGTGAGACACAGGTGTGTAAAGTGTAAGTGAGACACTGGTATGTAAGAGAGACACATATATGTAAGAGAGCCACTGGTATGTAAGAGAGACTCTGCTATGTAAGAGAGCCACTGGTGTGTAAAGGAGCCACTTGTGTGTAAGAGAGCCACTGGTGTGTAAGAGAGCCACTGGTGTGTAAGAGAGCCACTTGTGTGTATGTGAGACAAAGAACTACCTACCAGTTTATTGTAATGTAGCAATGCAATGTAGCATGTCAACTGTTGTAATGTAGCACTGCAATGTAGCACATGTTTACTGTTGTAATGTAGAACTGCAATGTAGCACATTTAATGTATGTCTTTGAGCTTGTGTGTGTGTTGGGGGTGGGGTTGTTGAAGGATCCTGAAATTTGACGAAAATTTTAACGTGTGAACTGGAGAAAAAAAATTCTACCAAATTTCCGTTCGATCAATTTTCTGTCAAGGAAATTTCTTCCAAAACGAATTTTCGTTAACCGTTTGGAGACCACTGGTCACCACTGCATCATAGACTTTAAGAGTTCGAAAATGCCCAATGGCCGTTTACTTTCCACTACAAAATGTAGCATTTTTATAGCTACTGCTTATTAAATAACAAATTTCTTTTATTTTTAAATTTTAATCAATGTCATTTTTTTTCTTTAACATAAAATAATGCGCGTAAATCGGCCTTGATTCAGGTTGAAATTTCTCATACACTAGAAAAGGAGAGGGTTTGGGGAGAGTGAGAGAGAGAGAATGGGCAAGAAACAAATTCAAGAAAACAGGTATCTCTAGATAATCCCCCCTTGCTTTCAAAGGGACCTCATTCACTTGTCTACCGGTTAGGGTCTTAACGGGCAGACAGGGAATAAAACCAGTGCAGGTCAAGTCTAACTGAAGGAGACAAAATATTGATTACGCTGGACCTTCCGACCAAACCCACATTAGACATCTAAGAACGGGGCAGGTTGACCAAGGCACTGACCTGCCAGCGGTCTTAGTTTTCACCTGTTTCTATTCTATACTTTCTTCTAGCCGAATTCCAACACAGTCAACATCTGATCCATAGGTCTCACTAGGATAGCAGCATATTAAGGATCACATTGAGCAGAGTTTCAATCATTTACTATGTTACTTTGATCTTGATCTATATTCAAACAATGTTAATTAGTGTTTAAATTGAAAATGTTTGATAGTCTGCAATGTATTTTCGTGTTTTGTAAATGACACGTTCATGGCTGAAATATCAAAGTGTCATTCACTTTTAAAATAGCTTTTTTTTTTTTTTTTTTTTTTAACGGAAAGTTTTAATTAATGAGATATCGTGACTATTGTTTTTTGCCTCCTGGGTAACAAGAATCATCCCAGAGATCTGACATTTTTCGTGTTTTGTAAATGACACGTTCATGGCTGAAATATCAAAGTGTCATTCACTTTTAAAATAGCTTTTTTTTTTTTTTTTTTTTTTAACGGAAAGTTTTAATTAATGAGATATCGTGACTAGTGTTTTTTGCCTCCTGGGTAACAAGAATCATCGCAGAGATCTGACATTCTGGCTAATGTATTCTATATGGCCAGTTTACCCAGAGACATCGCAGAGATCTGACAGTCTGGCTAATGTATTCTATATGGCCAGTTTAACCAAAAGATATAGTTATATGTCGTGTCAACAGACAAGCTATCGGGTATAACATAGACTTTTGGTGTGATTGCATCAGACATACTAGGAGTAACATAGAAATATCTTGCGATTGCATCACACAAACTAGGTTAATTCATATAAATGTCGTATGATTGCATCACGTAAGCTAGTGTATAACATTATGACGCCTTATGTAACCACTAGACAACTCCGTTCATCCGATAGTGGCAAACTATCGATTCCACGTGTTCGCCTTGAGACTTACGGTATGCGCATGTTCGCATTTGCTTGCCCAACAATTCGGAACACCCTTCCTGTCGCTCTCAGAAACAGTCAGACACTGGAGTCTTTCAAAACCAATTTGAAAACATATCAATTTCGCAAACACCTGTTGGGCTGATGTTGTCTACCATCTTTTCCAGCTAGCTATTATCTCCTGGATGTATAGTGACCTGTGTTATTTATGGTTGCAAGGGATGAAAGACTTAGAATTGGTATTCTCGTATGTAGTTTTTGTAATATTGCGTTTTGTATTTCAATGTGGTAAAATATAGATTCTTTCATTTCTCTTTTCATATGGATGACTTTGAACGCGCTTCAAGCCTTTGGGGATAAAGAGTGATTTTCAAATAAACTTTATTATTATTATTATTATTATTAACATAGACAACAGATATGTCGTGTAATTGTATCACACAAACTAGGGTATAACACAGAAATGTCTTGTGACTGCACAAGACAAATTATGGTATAACGACGGCATGTCATGTAATTCCATATTTTATCGCTTGCCAAAGAAAATGATTTTTTTTTAAAAATTATTATTAAAGTAGAAAAATAAGTTGTGTTGTCTATTTGAAGGTTTATAAGAGGTCAGATGTACAGGAATGAACTATCAATTGGGAAGTTCTTGAAGAGGTCAGATGTACAGGCATGAACTATTAATTGGGCCGTTCTTGGCACTGCCCATGTCTTTATCGCGTAAACGTGCGCTTCTTCTTTGTCATTAGTTTTGGTTCAGTCTGTCCATGCTGTCTATGGAGCAGGCCCTGGCTTGTCAGGGACATCTCTGTGACACAAACGCTTGTCTATGGAGCAGGCCCTGGCTTGTCAGGGACATCTCTGTGACACAAACGCTCGTCTATGGAGCAGGCCGTGGCTTGTCAGGGACATCTCTGTGACACAAACGCTCGTCTGCATCGCTGTTGCGTGATTAAATCTTGTTTTACTGGCGAGGCTGAGAGCGGGGAGGATGTCTTACCTTTAAAACTGTCCGCTCTACGATTCCCTTGACCCGACCCCAGGGGCTTTACTTGGGGTTCCCATTGCGTCCGGGTTTTCCCCCAGACATGTCCTCTTTTTTCGGCCCCTGTCCGGGCGGCTTTCCAGAAACATGGCCTTTGTCCTGGTATTTCCCTCTTCCGTCCCGATCAATACCTCCTTACTTACTCGTTCCTGGTTACATGCCATTCTGTCATTTGAAGTCTGTGAACTAAACGCCGCCTGCCATCAATGTGTAGTTCAATGGTAAGTGTTACCAAGGTAACCACCGAAGCTCCAGGTTCCGGAAGCCATTTTTTTGTAAACATAACGGTTACGCGAGTTCATGATAATTGATAAATATTTTTTTTCAAATAATATTATAAAAAATACTTGACTTTAAAAAAATGCCGCAACTTCGTGTTTACCGACCCACTGATAACCGCAACACCCAGGAGTTCGTCCAGGTGTTCGTCCAGGTATTCGTACAGGTCAATATGACTGGGAAGCTGAACGTTTGACCTGTGGCATCGGAACTTGTATTGCTCCGTTGCCAATAAGGATGAACTGCATTTTAAAAAACGAAGTGGATATTCGCACCCGGGGACAAGAAGTGAGAGGTTGGGATTAAACTATTTAAATTATTATTGTTGGGTTTGTAAGACCAAATGAGGTATCAAATGAAAGATAATTGAATGGACTATATGTTTGTAAACTTAATCTTCAGTTTAACTAAAATAAACTACCACAAATGACATCCGAATGGCATTGGTCTAATTTGATTCGGGTGCAAATAGCGGTTATGCGTGTCCTGGTCCATTTTGACTCAATTTTGACATTCGAATGTAAACAACCTTTTCCTAACCAAGGGATGCATTTGGTTTGGGATGGCACGACGCATTTACTTGGTGGCGTCTCATCAACCCATCTCATAGACTTAACTCATCCCATGCAACCACCTAACTCATATAAGTATGTCATCCCAATCACCCACCCGCGTCATAGAATTACCTCATCCAATTCAACCACCCATCTCATAGTATTATTACCTCATCCAATTCAACCACCCATCTCATAGAATTACCTCAGCCCAATCAACCACCCATCTCATAGAATTACCACATCCCATTCAACCACCCATCTCATAGAATTACCACATCCCAATCAACCACCCATCTCATAGAATTACCACATCCCATTCAACCACCCATCTCATAGAATTACCACATCCCATTCAACCACCCATCTCATAGAATTACCACATCCCAATCAACCACCCATCTCATAGAATTACCACATCCCATTCAACCACCCATCTCATAGAATTACCACATCCCAATCAACCACCCATCTCATAGAATTACCACATCCCATTCAACCACCCATCTCATAGAATTACCACATCCCATTCAACCACCCATCTCATAGAATTACCACATCCAATTCAACCACCCATCTCATAGAATTACCACATCCCATTCAACCACCCATCTCATAGAATTACCACATCCCATTCAACCACCCATCTCATAGAATTACCTCATCTCATTACCTTACCAAGCTAATAATAATTATACTTCATTTGTCTTCATCCCAACATTTCCAAATATTACCTCATTCGCTTCCAACTACATATCTAATAATTTTACCCCATCCTCTTCCACCTACATATCTAATAATTCTTAAGGCCTCAGATCTCCCACTCTTGTCATCCACCTCTGGTCGTCTCCAGTTTTCTGCCTCTGTCCCTGGGGCATTGTCCCAGGACGGTGCCGGTCTCGAAATGCTTTAGCTCCTCTAACCTTAGTCAATTAATTTTTTGGGGGAAATCAAGCTTTCAGCCAAATTTTGGGCCCAAAGTTCAAACGCTCTAAACATAGACTTTATTTGCTCCCCTTGTCACCGTTGGGGTAGTGTCCCCTAGCACGTTGGGGTAGTGTCCCCTAGCACGTTGGGATAGTGTCCCCTAGCACGTTGGGGTAGTGTCCCCTAGCACGTTGGGGTAGTGTCCCCTAGCACGTTGGGGTAGTGTCCCCTAGCACGGCTTATCTTGCAGACGGCAATCTTTTAGAATATAATAGCGTGCGTCTAGGGTAACGTTCCAATGTCGAGATGTGACGGGATACCCTTATGCCTATAAGCGACATTAGGGTAACGTTCCAATGTCGAGATGTGACGGGATACCCTTATGCCTATAAGCGACATTAGGGTAACGTTCCAATGTCGAGATGTGACGGGATACCCTTATGCCTATAAGCGACATTAGGGTAACGTTCCAATGTCGAGATGTGACGGGATACCCTTATGCCTATAAGCGACATTAGGGTAACGTTCCAATGTCGAGATGTGACGGGGTACCCTTATGCCTATAAGCGACATTAGGGTAACGTTCCAATGTCGAGATGTGACGGGATACCCTTATGCCTATAAGCGACATGGGCTCATCCCAAGTCGAGAGACGTGTACTCATACTAAAATTGTGACATGTACAGTTAAAAATACAATAGTCACATTATGGAATGACAACAGAGTCCCAGGTGTGATGTTAATATGGGCCCCTTTTGAATAACACATCAATACATTGGTTTACCATATGCCTTTTTTGGATAACACTTCAATACATTCGTTTGTTTTCTATGTGCTCCTTTCGAATAACACTTCAATTCATTGGTTTTCTATGTGCTCCTTTCGAATAACACTTCAATACATTGGTTTTCTATGTGCTCCTTTCGAATAACACTTCAATACATTGGTTTTCTATGTGCCCCTTTTAAAAAGTCCTAATAGCCCAGCTCCTCTACCAAACTTGCTACTTTACTTCACCCTGACACCCTCATCTCGGCCGAAACTGAAACTAGGCCGAAATTGATGAAATGGTAACTTTCCGCGCCGAAACCGAAGCAAAAGTCGGTCGATCACTAGTCTAAAACTCGCTGCCCGCAAGACGATATTATTATTTTGCTTGTATAGGTTTGGACGTTGATTATAATTTTAAAAACCATTTTAAAGTCTGACTAAAAGCATTTATTTGATAGCATTTTATGAGACAAACATGGCCCAAGTACGGTTTGAGAAATAGCTTCGAATATTGTATATAAATTAGAACCCGGTTATGTCGACCGCCTCGGGGTTTGCCAAAGAGCGTCGAGATAACCGATGATCGAGATGAACGAAAAAAAATGGCGGCAATATATTAACATGTGTTTGAAATATCTTTATGTGCATGATGTGCGTTAATAAATGCAGGTACTTCAGTAAAAGTTTTACCCCCCAAAAAAATATATATTACAGTTTCAAATTTTAAAAAAGAATTAAACCAAAATCAACTTTTTGAGCTACGAATGTTGAAAGTGTGAGTTCGTTTGATGTCGTCTACTATGGACGAAGCCTCCACATTTTGTGACCTCATTCTGCTGATCTTGTCATGCGCAATGACTATATAGTTCAGATAAGGCAAAGCATCCCCCTATTACTAAAATACTATTTAGGGGCTACTTATTTTGAACTTTCAACTTTGGCACATGACTATTTAATTAAAGCCTTCCCTGAACAATGGTTTAATAGCTTTTGCACACGGCACACTCTTATGACTGAAACTCTGACGTAGTACCGCGGCATAGCCATTATGCAAGTGACCGTGAACGGCTACCCATTACAACGTTTTGCACACGGCAAATTATGATCATTTATAAAATGGACTCTACCGGGTTTTAAACCTTGAATTAAAACATATTTATTTAAATGACTTCTCGGTTTATTCTAAAACACAAGTCCTGTATTTTGAGAAATAAATATATATTTTTTTTAATTACGAAGAACTTGTTTATTTGTTGTTTGCTATTTCTTCTTGCGGAGTTCAAAAGCCGGCGATTGGTCATGGAGATCAGATAACCGAGATTAAGTGGCAAATTTGGCCGCCTTTTGTGCTCGAGATATCAGGGTTCGGCGACATAAAAGAATTGGCATAACCGAGGAGAAAATGCTCATATAAAGAGAGAATTGGCGGTTCCACTTCAAAAACGTTGACATAAAAGTGTTGGCGAGTTAACCGAGGTCGAGATAAGCGGGTTCGCCTAAGATATGACAAAAGTTTAAAAGGTCAGTTAGTGGGTAATGCACAACCATAATTGTGTAAATCGTGGCAAGCTGACACATTATGAAAGAATCCCTATTAAAATTGCCGCTAGTGTGCACGACTGGTGTTTAAGGGAAATTCCGAGCTTGTCAGCTTGGTCACTTTTAAAATAGGGTTAGTCAAAAAGGCCCTTTCTACAATCAGAATACAATCTCACTACATTTGCATCTTCCATCGCATCAATAATTCATAAATATGGCCTGCTCCTGATTTCTGTTTGAACAGGTTTTAGTTTTAAAATGGCTATTTGTAATCGCCATATTTGTATTCTTATTTTATGCTTTTTCGTCTTTGTTAACCAGAAGTTCATTATTCTCATAGCATTTATTAGCTGAATATTTCTACTTTAGATCATTGGGAATTTTATTTTCTTACTAAGGATAATATACTGCCGTTAACAGTGATCCTCAAGATATGAAGGCCGGGTCTATTTTTGGAGTTTATGGGTGACGTGGTGCTCAACATTCGAGTTTTAATTTCTTGCCCTAATTTTGTAATCACCCTTTTCAATGGACTACTCGATGCGGCCCAGTCTTACTCAGACTCTACCGCCTGCGGCCCCCGGATTATTTGAGTTTGAGACCCCTGACCTAGAGCATAATTCGTTATATCGCCCCCGATCACTACAAGACTTTCAAGGTGCCATGTTTTATGTATACACTAAGTGAAAATGTTGTTCCTGTTGGTACGCACGAGCTTGCGCGTGATCTTTATGACTTTCCTAAACTTGCATCCAAAGAATTCTGATAATAATCAGGTCACGTGTACTCTAGGATATATCTGGCACACACGCCGTGCGGCTGTCTCGAGCAGCTGTCCAATACTGAGCTAGCAAAACATTATGTAAAAGTGAAGATGACTTCAACAAAGTAAAAACACAGTTAACTCTTTGGATACAAGCTTTAATCGGTTATCATAACAAGATGGCTGACCCTGTAACAAGATGGCTAACCAAATAACAAGACGGCTGACTCTGTAACAAGATGGGTGTCCCTATAACAAGACGGCTGACCCTGTAACAAAATGGCTGACCCAACAACAAGATGGCTGACCCAATAATAAGATGGCTGGCCCAATTATAAGATGGCTGACCCTGTAACAAGATGGTTAACCAACTAACAAGACGGCTGACTATATAACAAGATGGCTGACCTTGTAATAAGATTGCTGACCCTGTAACAAGATGACTGACCAAATAACAGGACGGCTGAATCAGTAACAAGATCACTGACCCTGCAAATCCACTGTGACAGTCACTCAACGAAACCACACACTAGTGACTGACCAACCCTGGACGAAGACTACATCATCTAATGCACACTGACGGTCAATACCAAAACGTTGAGAACTTTCAGCCAAATAACCGAACTTCTCGTGGTCACACATCATAAATCCTACATCTCATGTTTATTGTTATTGTTCTCTTCCAACCAATGACATTCAGGGATTAAAATACAACGAAAACTCACAACTCACGACCGATAACAAAGTTGTCCAAAACACAGTGATTCTCATACCTTGGCAGGTACACCTTCGAGGTGTGTTCCCATCGAGGTGTGTCCTTTCTAGTTGTGACCCCATCGAGGTGTGGACCCCATCCAGATATGTCACTTCCAGGTGTGTCCCATCGAATGTGTCCTACTGTGAGGTGTACCCAAGTAGAAAACCACACGACACAGTTTGTAATTTGCCAGGGTGTGTGTGGTGGTGGGGGTAGCACAAGGGATTGTATCCCATTATTTGCTTAAAATAGCCAGCCCCGCTGGATTCCCTAAGGAAATTCAATGAATAGTTTGTAGGGACATACATACACGCCATTTACCTTCTGATGATAAGCTAGGCTAGTATTATATTCCAAAACTCATCTTTCCGGCACAGGGCATTTAGTTCAGTTCAATTTGTTTTTGTTGACCTAACCCGTCTTCTGTCAAACTTGAACTTCCTCAAATTTACAATTTTATTTTATTTTTTGGGTGCTGGGTAGCCGAGTCTTCGTCAGCTTCGTCAGTCCTAAGATGGTGAACTGGACTTCAAACCCCAGCAAAGGCCTAGACAAGCAAGACACACCACAAGCACCCCATGCTGACTTGCTAATGTTAGATAGACGGCAACTCATCTGAAAGAAGGAAACTCTTAATTCAAACCCGGAGATGGAGTCCCGTTAGCGGTATGGCATTAACACAATGAAAAATTTCGGCAACAACTGAGGCGTTACTGGTGTCAATCTGTATTACCCCCCCCCCCCAATAATGTTCCCTTGGGTTATCAAGCTGCATCGAGAGAGGTGATATGCTGTCTCGGGGACGAGTGGAGTCCCGTTAGCGGTATGGCATTAACACAATGAAAAATTTCGGCAACAACTGAGGCGTTACTGGTGTCAATCTGTATTACCCCCCCCCCCAATAATGTTCCCTTGGGTTATCAAGCTGCATCGAGAGAGGTGATATGCTGTCTCGGGGACGAGTTTATCATCCTAAAGAAAAATCACAGTCCTTGCGATTTCGTCCGAAGTCGACATCATCCATCATCGTCATATTGTGACGTCTACACCATCGTCACATTGTGACGTCGACACCATCGTCACATTGTGACGTCTGCACATCGTCACCTTGTGACGTCAACGCCATCGTCACATCGTGACGGTTGGATGCCACATTTTATCCGAAGTTAAATGAGTTGTTGTTTTTGTTTTTTAAATGTCATGATACCAATTGTGTCTCCCCGTATCAAACGATGGATGTTAAGTGTAACTGGTGGGACTGATGTTTGTGAGACAACCAGCCGTATGGTCACGTGTCACTTTATAGAACTGGGAATTGTTTCGTACGTTTCGAGTGTTCAATTTTGTATTTTTTAAGACTTTCCCGGAGATGATGAGCTGGTAACTCAAGACTCTGACTTGTGGTTATGACTGCTCATAGACACAATCATTTATTGGTATCCTTTCCAATTTAGAGACTCATTTTCTTCTCTTGTTTAAATAAATAGTTCTGCTCTTGTTTACAGACTCGCTTTCTTCCCCTGTTTTAGAGTCAAATTTTCTGCTCCTGTTTAAGACACATTGTCTTCTGTTGTTGAAAGACACAGTTTCTTCTTCTCCTGTCTAGAGACGCATTTTCTTGTCCTGATTAGAAACCCAATTTCTGTACATGAAGGCAAATAGCTAATTCCTTTGATCAGTGGGGCTCAAACCAATGTTGGTCTTATAGACACCTTGTAAATTATGCGACTTTGTGGCTGACCCCCCCCCCCCCCAGTAAAAACTAAGCTGCAGGTCTTTGGCATATCATCCTGTGTCTTGTTTGTCTGTATCTTATCTACCTACGACTTACCTTCATGTCTTATCCACATCTTGTCTATACTTACGTTCTCTTTCTATATTGTCACTTTTTGTCTTTTACGTATGTGTCTTGTCTGCATCGTGTATGCTTGTGTATTTCTGTCTCTGTCTGGGCTATATGTGTCTTGCCTGTATGGGTCTGTGTCTTGTCAAAACTTTGTCTATCTGTGTCTTTCCAGCTCCTTGTCTGTCTGTGTCTTGCCAGCTCCTTGTCTGTCTGTGTCTTGCCAGCACCTTGTCTGTCTGTGTCTCGCCAGCACCTTGTCTGTGTCTCGCTAGCACCTTGTCTGTCTGTGTCTCGCCAGCACCTTGTCTGTCTGTGTCTTGCCAGCACCTTGTCTGTCTGTGTCTTGCCAGCACCTTGTATGTTTTTGTCTTGCCAGCACCTTGTCTGTATGTGTCTTGCCAGCACCTTGTCTGTTTGTGTCTTGCCAGCACCTTGTCTGTCTGTGTCTTGCCAGCTCCTTGTCTGTCTGTGTCTTGCCAGCACCTTGTCTGTCTGTGTCTTACCAGCACCATGTCTGTCTGTGTCTTGCCAGCACCTTCTCTGTCTATGTCTTGTCTGCATATATCCTATCTGGATTGTTTCTGGTCTGTGTGTTTCTTTCTTTTCTTACTTCGTTCTGTGTCTTAGCCTTTATGTGTCGTATTCGTATGTGTCCTGTCTGCATCAATGACTGTATGTATTACTGACTTGCCCGTCATGTTGTTGTCTTGGTTAGCATGTTTTCTGTAATTTTGTTGGTCCTTGTCTTGTTAGCGCTTGTCTGTGTCTTGTTAGCGCCTTGTTTGTCTGTGTCTTGTTACCGCCTTGTCTGTCTGTGTCTTATTAGCGCCTTGTCTGTCTGTGTCTTGACTGCGTGTGTTTTGTTTGTATTTGTCTTGCCCTCTCTCTTTCTCTCTCTCTCTCTCCCTCCCTCTCTCTCTCTCTCTCTCTCTCTCTCTCTCTCTCTCTCTCTCTCTCTCTCTCTCTCTCTCTCTCTCTCTCTCTCTCTCTCTCTCTCTCTCTCTCTCTCTCTCTCTCTCTCTCTCTCTCTCTCTTTCTCCTCACTGTGTCTTGTTCATCTTCGTTTTGAATTTTGGACATCGGCTGTATTTGTCATGGCTCTCTCGTCTTGTCTGCCAGTGTCTTGTCTATATGTGTCTTGTCTGTCATTGTCTTGTCTGTCATTGTCTTGTCGTTATTTGTCTTGACTACTGCGTCTTGTATGGTTGTGCCTTGGCTGTGTATGTCTTTGCTGTCTGTGTCTGCCACCGTATGACGTCGTCGATCTATACATAGCCCTATTAGCAGGTTCTGCCATCATGTCTTAAATGTAAGAAGAATCGATGGCCTTCCATGTCCACTTATCAATGTTGGACAAGTGGGTCAGGTAAGGGGGTGGGCAAGTGGGTGAGGTAAGGGAGTCGGTTAGGATAATGTGTTAGGGGGTGAGATAAGGGTATTGTAGATGTGTTCTCAGATGGTGAGCTATGAGAATGTGTTTTGAGGGTGACATTAGGGTTGTAGATGACTTCTCAGATGATGAGCTATGAGAATGTGTTTGGACGGTGACATTAGGGTTGTAGATGAGCTGTTATAAGATTAGGCATAATCACGTGTATATATTTATTTCTAGTACACATGTCAACAAATCTTTTCATTTTAAGATCATAAGAAAGTTATGTATTGACAGGTCCTTTTATGAAAAGTTATGAATTGACAGTTCCACGTATGATATTTTATGTATTGACAGTTCCACGTATGATATGTCCATAAACCCTCCAAAACTCAACAATTGGTACACAATCTTGTTATCGTTAAACATCATGGCCGTGAAATGCAGTCAATATTATCCTCTACTGTATACAGCTTACTGTGAAGAGTTTGTTTGTTCCAATTGTAAGTAGCTACTTTATAACTTTATAAATGACAATGTATGGATGGATGTAGACCCACTAGTGGTCCAAACTCAATAGTCAAAAGAGCCAAAAATCAGCAGCAGGACGATTAACAAAGAATTGAGAGGTGCATTTATTTTCAAGAACCTGCCAAGAACCACGTTTTTAGAAGTCAAACCCGATTTGTAGCCGACTGGCCGAGCCGCACTCAATTCGCTAAAGAGCCGCATGCGGCTCTAGAGCCTCGATTCGCCGACCACTGATCTAGACTAAACTGGGAAATCTATATTGAAAAACTGGTGGGTTTTAAACCGATAACATTGATACCTTAAGGGGCCAGGGGGCACTTATTTCATTGGGCTTAGGTAACATTGGGCTGTACGTTAATTAATTGATATACGCCAAACTTTGTTGGGGGTACCCTTTATGTTCTATTTTAAAATGGATGCGACTATTCGCACCCGGGTCCCTTAAGACCAATGCTATTCGGATGTCATTCGTGGTAGTTTATTTTAGTTAAACTGAAGAAGTAAGTTTACAAACATATAGTCCATTCAATTATCTTTCATTTGAAACCTCAGTTTGCCTTCACACCTAAAATATAATTTTTTAAATAGTTTTTTAATCCCAACCTCTCACTTCTAGTACCCGGGTACGAATAGCCACTTCGTTTTAAACTAGCGTTTTTTTTTTTGTTTTTTGTTTTTTAATGGCTACCTTCTACGTTCAATTTTTTATAAGGGTTTAAAGGTTATATAAAAATTATTAATTATTTTTATGTTTCTATAAATCTCTATGTGTTCTTCAAATATAGCGAAATCAATTTTATTTTTTCTAGAAATTTCCAATATGTATGTTCCTTATAAAAGGGAAAGATATAAACAAAAGCTTAGCTTGCAATACAAGCTATACAAAAAAATCTTAGTTTACGATGCAAGGTATATACAAAAGCTTAGTTTACGATGCAAGCTATCCATGAAGGTTTGGGTTACAATGCAGCCTTCTTTCAATAAATAATTATGCCAAGACCAAATTTTGTAAACATACATCATTAACCCCTAGTCATATCGGTGCATCTTAAACTAATAATATACCATCCGTTTTTGGGCGTGGGGAGGGGGGGGCGATTTTATTTGATATAAAATATTCTATCTTTGGCTTTAACAACCGATTTGAATGGGGCAACTTTACACATAAACCCAACCTAAAATGTTCTATTTTTGGCGTTAACAACCGATTTGAATGGGGCAACTTTACACATAAACCCAACCTAAAATGTTCTATCTTTGGCTTTAACAACCGATTTGAATGGGGCAACTTTACACATAAACCCAACCTAAAATGTTCTATTTTTGGCGTTAACAACCGATTTGAATGGGGCAACTTTACACATAAACCCATCCTAAAATGTTCTATCTTTTGCGTTAACAACCGATTTGAATGGGGCAACTTTACACATAAACCCAACCTAAAATGTTCTATCTTTGGCGTTAACAACGGCTTTGAATGGGGCAGCTTTACACATAAACCCAACCTAAAATGTTCTATCTTTGGCGTTAACAACCGCTTTGAATGGGGCAACTTTACACATAAACCCAACCTAAAATGTTCTATCTTTGGCGTTAACAACCGCTTTGAATGAGGCAACTTTACAAATAAACCCAACCTAAAATGTTCTATCTTTGGCGTTAACAACGGCTTTGAATGGGGCAACTTTACACATAAACCCAACCTAAAATGTTCATTCCTGTGAAATAATAAAGATTACGTCTTTATGAAATTTTAGGGATTTTTAAATTTGTCGCCTTTTGGAAGAGTACCAGACGGGGATTTTATTTTATTTTAAATAATAAAACGTATCTATTTTTGGCATTGGAGAAGACCATTTTTAATAAGAAATTTCAATCTAGATTTCGTTTACATTAACAATGTTGTCATTTTTTTAATTTGTTTATAATTATATTTTCGAAGCTTTCGAAATGTACTGAGTTGATAAGGAAAAATGATGAGTTGAGGATGTTGACAAGTTTTACATTTGTTTTATTTTTTCAAACAAGTTGTGGACAACATAAGTTTAAATTTGAAGCTATGGACCACAAAATGGAGCTTCCCATTTCTTAACAGCGCTGTCAATCAATGAGCAACGTTATCCTCTCATCCTTAAATAACATACAACACCTAAAAGTACCATCCAACACCCTCTAAAGACCAGCCAAACACCGTCAAAGTACCTTCCATACACCCTCCCAAATACCTTCCACAGACCCCTCGAGTACCTTCCACACACCCCTCGATTTCCTTCCAAACACCCTCAAAGTACCTTCCACGCACATTAAAGGTAGCTTCCACACACCCCTCGAGTACCTTCCACACACAAGAAGAAGACTTAAATGTGGTAAACTATCCAATGACTTTTGGGATGACGACTAATAAGGCAAATCTCATTCTATTAAAATCCTAGTTCCCTAGTTAATAGGATAACGGGGAGCTATGTGGTGAATTTTTTTGAGAATTAATCCCACAGACAACACACTTGATGACGTACTAGACTTTCCTGAGCCGACCAATCGATCAACAACTTTTTAATCCTAGTCCCACCCCCCACCCCCCAACCCTGGCACGCCTTCCCGACACACCAGAGAAGCCGAGACATCAGCTTTATTCCCAGTCTTAAAGTCTCTAAGATTGCTGGGTATGAATACAAAATATACTGAATACTTTATGATTTGTTTGATTTATATAAATACTATCAGACCTAAAAATGTACCCATGGTGCTAGTAAACATCACTAAAGTTTGCCTAAATATTCAACAAGTAGCGACTGATGATGTCACAACGTCAACGCTGAACATCAGCCAAACGTAATTTTCATTGGAGTCTGAGGGACGTCCGCTTTAAAGGCACCTACATTTTTCTTGGTTTGAAAGATAGTTGAGAATTATTATCTTAGGAGAGGAATAATGCATTCATTGAGATTGCAAATTTTGAGCTCAAAATTCCGTTCGGAAAATCCGTGTATCTTCCCGATGTGACAATTTTTCAGCCAACAGCCTCAAATTCTGAACTGGTCTCAAGTCATTTTATCTCCTGATTAAGCCAAGTATTAAAATGATTTTGTCACTGACCATTTGATTGGGGCTGGAGATTTTTATCAGATAACTCTGCTGATCTAACTATCTGGTGTGCTCTTGACATTTTGGTTTGCTCATGACATTCTGGTGCCATCATATCATTGTGGTTAGCTCATGACATTATGGTGCCATCATATCATTGTGGTTTGCTCATGGCATTCTGCTGCCATCATATCATTCTGGTTAGCTCATGACAATCTGGTGCCATCATATCTTTGCGGTTAGCTCATGACATTCTGGTGCCATCGTATCATTGGGGTTAGCTCATGACATTCCGGTGCCATCATATCATTCTGGTTAGCTCATGACATTCTGGTGCAATCATATCATTGTGGTTAGCTCATGACATTCCGGTGCCATCATATCATTGTGGTTAGCTCATGACATTCTGGTACCATCATATCATTGTGGTTAGCTCTTGACATTCCGGTGTCATCATATCAATGTGGTTGGCTCATGACATTCTGGTGCCATCATATCAATGTGGTTAGCTCATGACATTCCGGTGCCATCATATTATTGTGGTTAGCTCATGACATTCCGGTGCCATCATATCATTGTGGTTAGCTCATGACATTCTGGTGCCATCATATCATTGTGGTTAGCTCATGACATTCTGGTGCCATCATATCATTGTGGTTAGCTCATGACATTCTGGTGTCATCATATCATTGTGGTTTGCTCATGACATTCTGGTGTCATCATATTATTGTGGTTAGCTCATGACATTCTGGTGCCATCATATCATTGTGGTTAGCTCATGACATTCTGGTACCATCATATTATTGTGGTTAGCTCATGACTTTCTGGTGCCATCATATCATTGTGGCTAGCTCATGACATTCTGGTGCAATCATATCATTGTGGTTAGCTCATTACATTCTGGTGCCATAATATCATTGTGGTTAGCTCATGACATTCTGGTGTCATCATATCATTGTGGTTTGCTCATGACATTCTGGTGCCATCATATTATTGTGGTTAGCTCATGACATTCTGGTGCCATCATATCATTGTGGTTAGCTCATGACATTTCGGTGCCATCATATAATTCTGGTTAGCTCATGACATTCTGGTGCCATCATATCATTGTGGTTTGCTCATGACATTCTGGTGCCATCATATCATTGTGGTGTACTACATGAATTCTGATGTGGTCAGTGCATGCCAGTGTTATCTTGACCTTTCCAATATTCCAAGTTTATTTGTATGCGATCTATGTCATGCCGACTTTCTGCTTCCAGCCATCGACATTGACAGACGAGCCTAGAAATTTAAAAAAAAATCTGGCTCATTCGTTTTACACTGTGTATTTAACCTCGCTATTCACATTTGACCTAGTTTTTTTCACAATTGACCTAGTTATTTACATTTGACCTAGTTATTCACATGTGACATGAAGATAATTAATTTGAAATAATGCAAACGTTTGCTAATGATATGAAGTAATTCCCAAAATACAACAATGTAAAATATTGATTCTTTACCTGGTATTATATGCAACACAAAATGAATCGTTATGTTATTCCAGACGGTAGTCAACTGTAAACAAATCCTAATACCTATATATATATGAAATATAAATTACAAAGGGTTAAGGACAAGAGCCCCTAATCAAATGAATATAACAAGGTTGCCAAAGTTCTTTTAAAACAATACTATATTTATACGTTAGCTGTGATCGGTGCCTTCATATCATGGTTGACATTTTCCATTTTCTAGGCGGCTGTGACGAGACCCAGCGACCTGGTCACATTCTGACGTGCAGCCAGCCCAGGTGTATAAGCCCCGCCTTCTGTGCCGAAATTGACGTGTGTGACTGCCCCACGATCGGGGGCCCTTACACCCTGTACGAGGTCAACAGCACCGCCACTACCTGCGTTATGAATACAACGGGACCACCGGACAGTGCCTTGGAGAATAAAGCCGAGATGGGTGAGTGCTTAGTGGAAATCTGAAATGGCTGATAGTTGTCTTCTACACTGATAAGATGGGTGAGTGCTTAGTGGAAATCTGAAATGTCTGATAGTTGTCTTCTTCACTGATAAGATGGGTGAGTGCTTAGTGGAAATCTGAAATGGCTGATAGTTGTCTTCTACACTGATAAGATGAGTGAGTGCTTAGTGGAAATCTGAAATGTCTGATAGTTGTCTTCTACACTGATAAGATGGTTGAGTGCTTAGTGGAAATCTGAAATGTCTGATAGTTGTCTTCTACACTGATAGGATGGGTGAGTGCTTAGTGGAAATCTGAAATGGCTGATAGTTGTCTTCTACACTGATAAGATGGGTGAGTGCTTAGTGGAAATCTGAAATGTCTGATAGTTGTCTTCTACACTGATAAGATGGTTGAGTGCTTAGTGGAAAGCTGAAATGTCTGATAGTTGTCTTCTTCACTGATAAGATGGGTGAGTGCGTAGTGGAAATCTGAAATGGCTGATAGTTGTCTTCTACACTGATAAGATGGGTGAGTGCTTAGTGGAAATCTGAAATGTCTCATAGTTGTCTTCTACACTGATAAGATGGTTGAGTGCTTAGTGGAAAGCTGAAATGTCTGATAGTTGTCTTCTACACTGATAAGATGGGTGAGTGCTTAGTGGAAATCTGAAATGTCTGATAGTTGTCTTCTACACTGATAAGATGGGTGAGTGCTTGGTGGAAATCTGAAATGTCTGAAAGTTGTCTTCTACACTGATAAGATGGGTGAGTGCTTGGTGGAAATCTGAAATGTCTGAAAGTTGTCTTCTACACTGATAAGATGGGTGAGTGCTTGGTGGAAATCTGAAATGTCTGAAAGTTGTCTTCTACACTGATAAGATGGGTGAGTGCTTGGTGGAAATCTGAAATGTCTGAAAGTTGTCTTCTGTACTGATACTTATCAGGGTGTATTTTCCATCTTTCATTGTAAGATGATTAACCTATTGCATAAATACATAATTTTTCAGTGCGATTTTTTCAATCCAAAGCGATCTATGGGGCCTCGTGCCACTGAGAAGTTTATTAACATAGTTCAAATTGATCCTCTCCTGAAGGAGAAAGGGAATCAGAAGTTTAATAACATAATTCAAATTGATCCTCTCCTGAAGGAGAAAGAGAATATTGTCTGTTAGACATGAATATAGAAAAAAAACACACACGATGTTAATGTGATTTTTGTCCCCTGACTAAAGTCTGAAGAGCCATTTCCTCTTTCCTCTACACAGCCAAAACTCCCAACGTCTGGATGTACGCCGTCATCGTGGTGGGCACGGTCTTTGTGATAGCCGTGACGGCTGCTCTCTACAACATGTGGTAAGCTGGCACCGCCGCGCTAGTTCAGCGTTTTCTTCATCTAAGTGTTGTGTCCCTTTATTTGGCATATGTTATTGTTCCCCCCCCCTCCCCCTTGTTGGCCAGGCGCCGTGCATGAATGTGAGTGCATTTTTGAACTGTAAGGTTTGCTGCGCGTTGGCCTGACCGGTGAAGTGGATGAGGCCTTCATGCAGGAATGTTATGTTAGGTGCATTAATATGTTGTACAATCTCAGTTTTGTAATGACGTGAGAGGCTGGTGATACTGCTGCAGAGTTTTGAGAGGTATTTTACATAGGACAATTTTGGGCAATTTTCAATACTGGAAACGACGACGTGATCACGTTCTTGAATGTATTGTTATTTTGTTTGGTATGACCGCTGACCAAGTCACTTTTACAAAGGGACTCACTGTGATCATTGACGGGTCACCAACTCAAAAAGTATTCTAAATCCGTCAGGACAAGCCAATATATTTACAGGCACAGATTTACAATTAATTGACACTTACGAAATAAAAAAAATGTTATGTGCATATATATGTAAGCTTGTGTGTCCCTTGTCTTTGAGGCTTGAGTCCTAGTCCTAGTCTTGTGATAACACAGCGGTCTTTTCACTATTGAATTTTTCCTGTTCATTACCCTGTAAGTTTTAGGCCAGTAGCTAGACATCACACAAGCCTAGAGATTTCCCTCTTTGTTGTACATCAAAATATGTTTCTGCTTTTCTTGAAGCTCCGTTCTGGCTCTATACTAGGCCAAAACTGCCTGGCTCTATACTTGGCCAAAACTGCCTGGCTCTATACTAGGCCAGAACTGCCTGGCTCTATACTTGGCCAAAACTGCCTGGCTCTATATCAGGCCAAAACTGCGCATTGTCGACTAGGCAAAGTCTATCCTTACTTCCGTATCGCCGTTAAGATCAGGTCAAGGTGACCACGTGACGGGATATTTGCATGATGAATGATCTGATTGTCACCTATTGCTATTTTTTGGCTCGGTTCGAGGCTTGATTAGCATATTTCCAGGCGGTGTCTGAGACTTTTCTACCTTCCATTCCTTTTTTATAGTGTTACCATGGTGAGAAAAGAGACATTGCAGTCTACTTACCTTGGTCATGTCATTGCTATTCATAGGAAACGATGTTTTCTCACGCATAATCTCTTTGATGTGGTTTTCTCACACTGACACTTCGATGTGGTTTTCTCACACTGACACTTCGATGTGGTTTTTTCACACTGACTCTTCGATGTGGTTTTTTCACACTGACTCTTTGATGTGGTTTTTCTCACACAGAAACTTCGATGTGGTTTTTTCACACTGACTCTTTGATGTGGTTTTCTCACACTGACACTTCGATGTGGTTTTCTCACACAGACACTTCGATGTGGTTTTTTCACACTGACTCTTCGATGTGGTTTTTTCACACTGACTCTTTGATGTGGTTTTCTCACACTGACACTTCGATGTGGTTTTCTCACACAGACACTTCGATGAGGTTTTCTCACACTGACACTTCGATGTGGTTTTCTCACATTGACACTTCGATGTGGTTTTCTCACACAGACACTTCGATGTGGCTTTCTCACACTGACACTTCGATGTGGTTTTCTCACACTGACACTTGGATATGGTTTTCTCACACAGACACTTCGATGTGGTTTTCTCACACAGATACTTCGATGTGGTTTTCTCACACAGATACTTCGATGTGGTTTTCTCACACTGACACTTCGATGTGGTTTTCTCACACAGACACTTCGATGTGGTTTTCTCACACAGATACTTCGATGTGGTTTTCTCACACATGCCCTCTTTCATTGCCAACACGTTTAGTTATATGTTCTTTGTTTTCAAACCACAGCCTTGACATGTTTAGCTATTATTAGCCAACTTAAAGTTTCATTACCACGTCTTATGACTCATGTATTAGGGAAGGCTATACGCACGTAGACAGGATGTGTGGCTATACGCACGTAGACGGGATGTGTGGCTATACGCACGTAGACAGGATGCGTGGCTATACGCACGTAGACAGGATGCGTGGCTATACGCACGTAGACAGGATGCGTGGCTATACGCACGTAGACAGGATGTGTGGCTATACGCACGTAGACAGGATGGGTGGCTATACGCACTTAGACAGGATGGGTGACTATACGCACTTAGACAGGATGTGTGGCTATACGCACGTAACAGGATGCGTGGCTATACGCACGTAGACAGGATGCGTGGCTATACGCACGTAGACAGGATGTGTGGCTATACGCACGTAGACAGGATGTGTGGCTATATGCACGTAGACAGGATGTGTGGCTATACGCACGTAGCCAGGATGATTGGCTATATGCACGTAGTTCTGTCGAAATAGTAACTCCATGAACTAGGATTAACTCTGTACATTACTTAAGATGTCTCTGAACTTTTAGATCAGACTCATTACTTAAGATGTCTCTGAACTTTTAGATCAGACTCATTACTTTCTCTGAAATTTCAGATCAGACTCATTACTTAAAATGTCTATGTACTTTTAGATTAGACTCGTTCATTACTTAAGATGTATCTGTACTTTCAGATCAAACTCATTACTTTCTCTGAAATTTCAGATCAGACTTATTACTTAAAATGTCTATGTACTTTTAGATTAGACTCATTACTTAAGATGTCTGTGTACTTTCAGATCAGACTCATTACTTAAGATTTCTGTGTACTTTCATATCATACTCATTACTTAAGATGTCTGTGTACTTTCAGATCAGACTCATTACTTAAGATGTCTGTGTACTTTCAGATCAGAACCATTACTTTAGATGTCTCTGACCTTTTAGATCAGACTCATTACTTAAGATATCTCTGAATTTTTAGATCAGACTCATTACTTTCTCTGAAATTTCAGATCAGACTCATTACTTAAAATTTCTCTGTACTTTTAGATTAGACTCATTACTTAAGATGTATCTGTACTTTCAGATCAGACTCATTACTTTCTCTGAAATTTCAGATCAGACTTATTACTTAAAATGTCTCTGTACTTTCAGATTAGACTCATTACTTAAGATGTCTGTGTACTTTCAGATCAGACTCATTACTTAAGATTTCTGTGTACTTTCAGATCAGACTCATTACTTAAGATGTCTGTGTACTTTCAGATCCGACTCATTACTTAAGATGTCTGTGTACTTTCAGATCAGAACCATTACTTTAGATGTCTCTGAACTTGTAGATCAAACTCATTATTTTCTCTGAAATTTCAGATCAGACTCATTGCTTAAAATGTCTCTATACTCTTAGATTAGACTCATTACTTAAGATGTTTCTGTTCTTTCAGATCAGACTCATTACTTTCTCTGAAATTTCAGATCAGACTTATTACTTAAAATGTCTCTGTACTTTCAGATTAGACTCATTACTTAAGATGTCTGTGTACTTTCAGATCAGACTCATTACTTAAGATTTCTGTGTACTTTCAGATCAGACTCATTACTTAAGATGTCTGTGTACTTTCAGATCCGACTCATTACTTAAGATGTCTGTGTACTTTCAGATCAGCACCATTACTTTAGATGTCTCTCAACTTGTAGATCAGACTCATTACTTTCTCTGAAATTTCAGATCAGACTCATTACTTAAAATGTCTCTGTACTCTTAGATTAGACTCATTACTTAAGATGTATCTGTACTTTCAGATCAGACTCATTACTTAAGATGTCTGTGTACTTTCAGATCAGACTCATTACTTAAGATGTCTGTGTACTTTCAGATCAGACTCATTACTTAAGATGTCTGTGTACTTTCAGATCAGACTCATTACTTAAGATGTCTGTGTACTTTCAGATCAGACTCATTACTTAAGATGTCTGTGTACTTTCAGATCAGACTCATTACTTAAGATGTCTGTGTACTTTCAGATCAGACTCATTACTTAAGATGTCTGTGTACTTTCAGATCAGACTCATTACTTAAGATGTCTGTGTACTTTCAGATCAGACTCATTACTTAAGATGTCTGTGTACTTTCAGATCAGACTCATTACTTAAGATGTCTGTGTACTTTCAGATCAGACTCATTACTTAAGATGTCTGTGTACTTTCAGATCAGAACCATTACTTAAGATGTCTGTGTACTTTCAGATCAGACTCATTACTTAAGATGTCTGTGTACTTTCAGATCAGACTCATTACTTAAGATGTCTGTGTACATTTAGAGCCAATGATTTTGAGGACGGAAAGGGTTACTCATGATCATTAATTTAATTAATTGACTTTAAAATAAGATATTTTGATGTCTGCTGTGTACTGTTGTGTAATTAGTGAAATATTAAATTCAATGAAATGATCATTTTCTGAAACAATCTGAATCTTGTTATTAAGCCCAGTCGGGAAGAATGTAGCTCCCCAGATGTAATGTTCATTAGATGTTTAATGTGATCTATTTCTGTTGTCTGATTCATTCAGGCCTATTTAAAAAGAAATCGTTATATGTTTAAAGGGAGGGAAAGGTTTGTGAAGTTGCATGTTATTAGTATGTATGTTTCCAACGTATATGTCTACATCGAGTTATTTCATCACTCATTTCGCTTTGTCTTAGTCTTTATTTTATCTTAGACCTTACTTGTCTTAGTCCTTATTTGTCTTAGACCTTACTTGTCTTAGTCCTTATTTGTCTTAGACCTTACTTGTCTTAGTCCTTATTTATCTTAGACCTTACTTGTCTTAGTCCTTCTTTGCCATAGTATTCACTTGTCTAGACCACGTGACCACATCCATAGGTTTGTTGTTATCAATGTATTTCTCCACACCCCTCCCACCGATCTTTCTCTCACCCTTCCACAGCGAGCTTTTCCGCAAAGGCCCACGTCCGAGGCCGAAGGGCGAGGGCTCCAGAGAAGGATCCACGACTGGCACCATCCACAGCGTCCGGTCGGTTCAAGGGAACTGTAAAGGAAACACGGCACCCGGCAACGGGAGTCAGCGGTGCGAGAACCTCTACAAACAGATGAGTCGCGTGGACGCTGATGACGTCACGGTCCTGACCGACAACGAGCTGTCCTCCTTCCCGTCCAGAAACAACTCCCATTACACCCTGACCCCTCCCCTCCCCCACGACCACCAGGACATTCCTGATAGTGAGGCCATAACCCCCACCGCCACCCCACTCCCGTCCTCGGCGAGCACCGTCACCACCAACGTCGCCACGACGACAACACCGCTGAGTCCTAAGTCGCCCCCCTCTCTCACCATCGGCCCGCCGGCCATCAGCAGAACTCAAGTAGGTCAAACCAAGCATGACAATTCTAGTCGAGTGTCCCTAAAAACTAACCGACGCTATAAGCGCCTGCACCACCTGCTGCCCTCCAGGTTTGCTCAGTGTTTCTCGTGTGACGATAAGACCGCCGCGCCCCTGGCGGGGGTGACGTCCTCTGGCTCGGGGCTCGAGCTCACCTCCGAAGCCCACAGCCAGTCCATGTCGTTGACCCGAGCCCACGCCACTGAGAACATAGAGCTGTGTGGGGGAGAGTTTTACACTAACACCACTTCCGGTTTTCAGTTACATAACTGCATGCTTCCCCGTTGTCCAGACTCACGCCCGTCTGAACTAGACCTAACCCGACATTCTAACACGTACTCAGACTTTGACATGACAGTCCAAGCCAGAAAGCTCAGCATTCCCCAGGCGAATGAAGTCAAATTGGAGCTGGGGAGAGCGTCGCCCATGATTTCCAGAACGTTTATCCCTCACGCCGGAACACGAGAGGATCTGCGGCTGGTGACTCACACGTCTTGCGGTTCCAGCTCCGACTCGCTCGCCATGTCCTCTGATCTCATATCTGGGAAACACGAGGGCAGTTCCCAGTGCAGCCTCCAGCTCGGGGACACGGCGGAGACCTTGCTGAAAAATGACAGCAAGCCACGGAAAGAGTTCCCCTCGCGACACCAGATTCACCAACAAAGGCCGACCAATTTTACCGGCGCTAAGCAGCCCAATGCTGCTGCGATGCATCTCGTGGTGTCCACCCACGACAAGCTGAGCTCTGTATCCCCATTTGATGACGTAACGGGCGAACCGACCTCTTCTGACAGACTTGATATGTATGGTGGACTTAATCCCAGCACGGGTCGAAGCTTAAAATGCCCCTCTTCGAAAACCAGCGGTGCAAGCACAGATAACCTATGTTATCCTGCCATGCACGAGTCGTCAGTGACACCCCCTGTTGCTGAAGGTTCACTTTACAGTGAGGCGACGCCTCAATCCCGGCTTCACTCTCACAGGGCACGGAGGCCTTTATCCACATCAGCCTCGCCACTTTCATTCTCATCTGACTATGTCAACCAGCCTTCTAGCCTCGCCAACCCGCATTCCAAACAACCCAACCCCAAGTTGTCCAGAACAACAACGAAGCCACTGGTCTCACCCCCTTACAGAGGCGCTGACCCTAAGGTTTCTCCATCCACCACGATCCCCACTTCGAGATCTTTCGCCTCGCTTCCGGAAAGCCTCATCCAGAACCCACAAAAAACGCGAAAGAACCCGCCCCTGCTTGAGAAGGCGTCCCAAGACTCGGGTCACGTGAGTATCCCTCGGTCTCGAACCGTCAGCCCGGGGGAGTTTAGCTTAGACAATGCTGACGTCATGACCAGAACAGCCAGCTCGACCTACATTCAGGGCACGGGTTATCCCCCGTTACACATCCAGACATCCATGGAGTCTGGCCACGACTCCCCAACGTCCAGCCTGTGTCACAGCTGTAAGAGAGGGGTGCACAGCCCGGGGCTGTACTTGTTGGCATCACCTGACTCTACGTCACAGGCTTCCAACATCAGCGGGTTGGAGACTTCTGTATGACGTCATTAGGGAGACATTATTTTATGCTGTCAACAGTAACTTAATCTCCAAACACCTGGTTGTGATGCCATTTGTAAATGTGTTCTATTTTCTCTAGCAACTTACATTCAGGAACAGAGGAGTTTATAGTTGGTATATATATGTTTAACCATACTTACATATCATCTTGAAATATGCACCATAGTGTTGTTGCCATTTGAATGTGCATAGATGTAAATGAATTTCAGATTTCTACTGATATAATATTTTGAATTAAATTTTGTTTGTAAGATAAAACCAGTTGCTGAACCAAAGTGAATTTTAAAATGTTTTTTTTTTTTTAAAAACAGGGATCTATCAGTACGTAATTACATATAGCGAAGGGGTGGCATAGGACGTGGTGGAGGGTGGCATAGGATGGGTTGGAGGTTGGCATAGGACGGGGTGGAGGGTGGCATAGGATGGGTTGGAGGTTGGCATAGGACGGGGTGGAGGGTGGCATAGGATGGGGTGGAGGGGTGGCATAGGACGGGGTGGAGGGTGGCATAGGAAGTGGTGGAGGGTGGCATAGGACGTGGTGGAGGGTGGCATAGGATGGGGTGGAGGGGTGGCATAGGACGGGGTGGCATATGGTGGAGTGGTGGCATAGGACAGGGTGGAGGGTGGCATAGGACGGGTGGAGGGTGACATAGGATGGGGTGGAGGGGTGGCATGGTGGAGGGGTGGCATATGGTGGAGTGGTGGCATAGGACAGGGTGGAGGGTGGCATAGGACGGGGTGGAGTGGTGGCATGGGACGGGGTGGAGTGGTGGCATGGGACGGGGTGGAGTGGTGGCATGGGACGGATGGAGGGTGGCAAAGGACGAGATAGAATGGTGGCATAGGACGGGTGGAGTGGTGGCATAGGACTGGGGTGAAGTGGTGGTACTTTTTTCTTTCTTTAGCTGAAGGGCGGCCATTTTCAGTAAACTGCAGAAGTTGTTTTTTTTTGTGGAAAGGTGGGGGGAGGGGGGGGAGGGACAAAAATCTTGGCCCATCCTGGGTGGCACCTACCCTAGCTACGCCAGTGTAGCTAATGTGGTAATATAATATTGATCTATGTTTTATTATTATTTATTGATAGCAGGATCAAATTTTGATCGAGGCATAAAATTTGAAGAACTTAATAATTGAATTTGATATTGTTGTTCATAAATGTCAAGGTACATAAATATCAATATTTCATGTCTAATTTGCGGCCCCCGAAGTAACGAAATAATCTTTATTATTATTTTCCTAATAGCTCTCCCCTCTGTCCTATTATCTTTCGGCCCGCACAAGTTTTTCATAAGGTTTAACGGCCCGCCTTACATGTTGAGTTGTGCCCAGGCCTGGTTTATATCAATGCAAGGTAATATATGAAATGATAATGTATTGGGGCTATTCAGAGCGTAGGCAATGCAGTCGCTGACAAGTTAATTTGATGGAAATATGTCCCACTGACTAGCTAATTTGATAAACATTGCCCCACTGACCAGCTAATTTGATAAAGATATGTCCTACTGGCCAGCCAATTTGATAAAAATATGCTCCACTGACTAAACATGTGATAAAGATATCCCCTACTGACCAGCCAATTTGATAAAGATATGCCCCACTGACCAGCAAATTTGATAAAACTAAGCCCCACCGACCAGATAATTGAAAATAAAATGTGTACATTTTTCTAGTCAGTCTTTTGTATAGATCAACGTACAGTACAGTAGAGTCGTCTGAAAATTAATTGTAGTTAGAATACTTACTGATGATGTAAAATATTAGTATACACTACCAAGTATATTACATTACACAAGTCAGTGGATAACATAACACAACCTCGTGGATTGTAACACACACCCTATTGAATTTTAGTAAACAACCTTTTGGTTTACATTACACAACCTAGTGGATTAAAATCCACCACTGGCTTCAGTTTAAAAGGGTGATAACTTAGGTCAGTGGTCGGCAAACTCATTAGTCAAAAGAGCCAAACATTAGCAGCAGGACGATTTAAACATTTTGAGAGCCAACTTTCTTTTCAAGAACCTGTGAAGAACCATGTTTTTTAAGAGTCAAAAGCGATTTCTGGCCGAGCCGCTGCCTAAGGGGACAACAATAGATTTTAGGTCAGACTTTCTTTAAGTGACAATCGATTTTTGGTCAGACTTTCTTTAAGTGACAAAAATAGATGTTAGGTCAGACTTTCTTTAAGTGACAATAGATGTTGGTCAGACTTTCTTTAAGTGATAATAGATGTTAGGTCAGACTTTCCTTAAGGGACAATAGATGTTAGGTCCGACTTGCTTTAGGTGACAACAATAGGTGTAAATATGGTCAGACTTCACAACAGGGAAATTTATAATCATGTATTAACGTCCCGGCTTTAAAAAAAAAAAAAACCACTAATGGCTTACAACCATCTCCGCCAACATCTAAAATGTGCTCTCGTGTCAAATACTACGGACAGACTTGGCCACATGTTTTTGTTACTAACACAATGGGTTGCCAGAAAGGCAATCACAAATTAATTATTAATCCTCGATGTCATGAAAATCCAAGACAACTTCAGCTATTGTTCACGTGTCCAACAGAGCTTTGGTTTTTGGTGTCGATAAGCCAAGCTGCTTGATGTGGCTACCAACTGTAAGCCAAGCTGGTTGATGTGGCTACCAACTGTAAGCCAAGCTGGTTTATGTAGCTACCAACTGTAAGCCAAGCTGGTTTATGTAGCTACCAACTGTAAGCCAAGCTGGTTGATGTGGCTACCACGTTTAAGCCAAGCTGCTTGATGTGGCTACCAACTGTAAGCCAAGCTGCTTGATGTAGATGTGGCTGCCAAGTATAAGCCAAGGTGTTTCGTGTGGCTACCAACTATAAGTCAAGCTGTTTTGTGTGGCTACCAATGATAAGCAAAGCTGTTTTGTGTGGCTACCAATGATAAGCAGAGCTGTTTTGTGTGGCTACCAACTTTATGTCAAGCTGTTTTGTGTGGCTACCAACTATAAGCCAAGCTGTTTTGTGTGGCTACCAATGATAAGCCAAGCTGTTTTATGTGGCTACCAACTATAAGCCAAGCTGTTTTGTGTGGCTGCCAAGTATAAGCCAAGCTGTTTTGTGTGGCTACCAATGATAAGCCAAGCTGTTTTGTGTGGCTACCAACTATAATTCAAGCTGTTTTGTGTGGCTACCAACTATAAGCCAAGCTGTTTTATGTGGCTACCAACTATAAGCCAAGCTGCTTGATGTGGCTACCAGCTGTAAGCCAAGCTGGTTGATGTAGATGTGACTACCAACTGTAAGCCAAGCTGTTTTGTGTGGCTACCAACTATAAGCCAAGCTGCTTGATGTGGCTACCAGCTGTAAGCCAAGCTGGTTGATGTGGCTACCAACTGTAAGCCAAGCTGCTTGATGTAGATGTGGCTGCCAAGTATAAGCCAAGCTGTTTTGTGTGGCTACCAATGATAAGCCAAGCTGTTTTGTGTGGCTACCAACTATAAGCCAAGCTGTTTTGTGTGGTTACCAACTATAAGCCAAGCTGTTTTGTGTGGCTACCAACTATAAGCCAAGCTGTTTTGTGTGGCTACCAACTATAAGCCAAGCTGTTTTGTGTGGCTACCAACTATAAGCCAAGCTGTTTTGTGTGGCTACCAACTATAAGCCAAGCTAGCTAACGTTTCTTGACATTGACTTTTGAAGCTGGTGCTGATGATAAGCGTCCACTATATCAATATGTTATCAAAATGACGCAAGTCACCCAGCATCCCTTTGAGTGAAAATGAGAAATGCCATCACTAAACTATCATGTATCCAAAAATGTATCCTATTTCACGTTTGTCTTCGAGAATTGACTTACAAAATAAATGTCAATCAGTATCCATGCTAAAATCAAAATATACGCACACAACTAAACGGCTGTTTCCTTCAATGTTTTTAGAAGGTAAAATGAGAAAGAGTTACTTCGTGTATTTCCTATGCTCAATGCATCGAATGACGTAACTGTGTTGTAGTTCTTCGGAGGAGATGAAATTATTGACCAAGCTTATACGTGGGTGTTGCTGGAAACTAAACAACACCTACCAGATTTATGATGGGAGTAAACAACACCTACCAGATTTATGATAAAATTAAACAACACCTAGCCGATTTATGATAGAAGTAAACAACAGCGATTAATACAAGATTGATTTAAAATCTCAGATGAAGAAAATCCAAATGTTTGCTAATGGACGTACTTGAAAATAATTTTTGCTAATTTTAATACTCAAGGCAATGAAATATGTTTAGTTGGTTGTACTTCAAAAATTGCACAATATACAAACATTGATGTTTAGATTTACTAAAATTGATGTTTAGACATACAAACATTGATGTTTAGATATACAAACATTGATGGATAGATATACAAACATTGATGTTTAGATATACAAACATTGATGTTTAGATATACAAACATTGATGGATAGATATACAAACATTGATGTTTAGATATACAAACATTGATGTTTAGACATACAAACATTGATGTTTAGATATACAAACATTGATGGATAGATATACAAACATTGATGTTTAGATATACAAACATTGATGTTTAGATATACAAACATTGATGTTTAGACATACAAACATTGATGTTTAGATATACAAACATTGATGGATAGATATACAAACATTGATGTTTAGATATACAAACATTGATGTTTAGATATACAAACATTGATGTTTAGACATACAAACATTGATGTTTAGATATACAACCCGAATGAGATCAAAAGTGGGGGATGTCTGAGCAAATAGGGCGGAGTCGACAATTACAAACAATACAGCTTCAGTTCAAAATACTTTTGAATGACGTCATCAAAAATAAGATTTGATTTCGAAGAAGCAAAGTTCATAAAATCCTGAGGAATAATTTCTTTACCAGCAGCAATCTTCAATCTGAATGATTGTGTCTTTAGACCTGGTCAATGGTTCTGTTCAAATGTCTTCAATCTGAATGATTGTGTCTTTAGACCTGGTCAATGGTTTTGTTCAAATGTCTTCAATCTGAATGATTGTGTCTTTAGACCTGGTCAATGGTTCTGTTCAAATGTCTTCAATCTAAATGATTGTGTCGTTAGACCTGGTCAATGGTTCCGTTCAAATGTCTTCAATCTGAAGATTGTGTCTTTAGACCTGGTCAATGGCTCAGTTAAAATGTGTCACATAAATCTTGACAGGCTCACGTGAAGTATGTTGATATGTTACATTAATCCTTGACAGGGCTCATTGTGTAGCTGTACATTGTTTAAAGAAGGGTAAGAACCACTCCTCGGGGTGAAGAATCTAAGTAACTTTGAATAGGTCAGAAGTCAGTGAGCTCATTCAAGCATATCTTGTTTTGAATAGAAGGTCAGAGGTTAGCAAGCTCATTGATATTCCCATTATATATATATATATATATATATACTATTTAATGTAAATATATGATATTTATGGCATACTTTGAAACACTATGTGTCATAATTCCATGATTAGGTGATGACATTTGTTTTATAAATGACATTGAGGTGTGCATGGGACGTGGCGAGTCGATTATTGCATCGTACAAATGGTGGTTTCTTCTTGTTTTTTTGCATGTGTCTGGCCTCATGTTGGTGTATCTTGATATGTAATATGTACCTCATTGTATGTAAATTATTGTATTTATTATTTGTATCCAACTAGAACGGATTGTTTTGTGACGTAGTTGATGTTGTTTGGTTATGTTGTATGTTGATGTTTGGTGGCCCTGTTGTTAATCTGTTCAATTGTTGTTGCTGTTGTTTGGTGATGTTGTATGTTGATGTTTGGTGGCCCTGTTGTTAATCTGTTCAATTGTTGTTGCTGTTGATGTTGTATGTTGATGTTTGGTGGCCCTGTTGTTAATCTGTTCAATTGTTGTTGCTGTTGTTTGGTGATGTTGTATGTTGATGTTTGGTGGCCCTGTTGTTAATCTGTTCAATTGTTGTTGCTGTTGTTTGGTGATGTTGTATGTTGATGTTTGGTGGCCCTGTTGTTAATCTGTTCAATTGTTGTTGCTGTTGTTTGGTGATGTTGTATGTTGATGTTTGGTGGCCCTGTTGTTAATCTGTTCAATTGTTTTTGCTGTTGTTTGGTGATGTTGTATGTTGATGTTTGGTGGCCCTGTTGTTAATCTGTTCAATTGTTGTTGCTGTTGTTTGGTGATGTTGTATGTTGATGTTTGGTGGCCCTGTTGTTAATCTGTTCAATTGTTGTTGCTTTTGTTCGGGTGTGTTGCTGCTTAATGAGTGTTGCTGCTGATTGGTTTGTGGAGCAGTGCCCGGAGGATATTGTTATCGAGTTGTTGATTTCTAGTGTTACACTATTATGTTTAGTTATATGTGTTGTCTATTTCTTATGTTTGACCATTGTTTGATACATGCTGTATGTTAAGGCCAAAACATAATCTTGTAACTATGTACTCTGAAGCAAGGAGCTGCCGGACTGACATCATATCTATGACATTACTGAACAAACCTGCATGGCATCTGACATCTGACGTCTGTGTTGTGGAGATGTCAACATATTTATTTGTGGTGATGATCAAATAAAGCTATTTTACTAACTAATCACAACACCCCTATGGTGTTAGTCTTCTTCCTGCTTGTCGTGGTTGTCCTAATTGTCGTGGTTGTCCTAATTGTCGTGGTTGTCCTAATTGTCGTGGTTGTCCTGCTTATCGTGGTCCTGCTTATCGTGTTTGTACTACTTATCGTGTTTGTCCTACTTGTCGTGTTTGTCCTACTTGTCGTGTTTGTCCTACTTGTCGTGTTTGTCCTACGTGTCGTGTTTGTCCTATGTGTCGTGTTTGTCTTACTTGTCGTGTTTGTTCTACTTGTCGTGTTTGTCCTACTTGTCGTGCTTGTCGTGTTTGTCCTGCTTGTCGTGTTTGTCCTACTTGTCGTGTTTGTCCTACTTGTCTTGTTTGTCCTGCGTGTCGTCTTTGTCCTGCTTGTCGTGTTTGTCCTACTTATCGTGGTTGTCCTACTTGTGTGTGCCCTACTCATCGTGGTTGTCCCACTTGTCGTGTGTGCCCTACTTATCGTGGTTTTCCTACTTGTCGTGTTTGTCCTGCCTGTCGTGTTGGTCGGGTTTGACCCTCATTTCTATTGCTCTCACAGAGACAGTACGCAACAACAAGACAAGTGTTTACTTTTTATTAGCGGTCTTCGACCACACATTATCTAAAGATAATCTATCCTCACTAGTAATCATCTTAATATCAACCTTCTTCTCTGTTTATACTCTAGAACAGGGGTCTCCAAACTACGGCCCTCTCATCTGGCCCGCGGAGACCTTTTTGTCTACGGAAAAGATTACGGAAATGTCCGTGTATCCTGCCCATATCAACCGCCGCTTACGTGGACGTTATGTTTTTACCGAATTAAAATAGAGGCGCGCAGTAGTGCGTTATGTTTTTCAACCGATCACTACATTGCAAAACATTATTCACTGCTTAGTTTTTCTACTTCCGCCGTTGGTGGAGCTTTGCCCGCCGAGTTGCAGACATGGATGAAAACATTGTGACTCAAATAGCGAAAAAAAAAAATTTCCAATTTTTAATTGCAATGGATGAGTCGCTGGAAGCTGTTCCAGCTGTTCTGCTTGTGATCATTAGATGTGTGGATGAAGACATGAACATAACACAAGAGCTGGCTTCCCTTCATAGCATGTACGGCAGTGTCACCGGAGAGTATATATTCAAACTCAGTTGCCTTATTGTTGGCGGAGAAAATAACATGAGTGGCATAAAGAAAGGCTTGGTTGGACAAGTGAAGCACATGTGTAATGAGAAAAACATTCTGCAAACAATGTTCCTGCACTGTATTATTCACCAGAAAGCTTTGTGTGATAAATATGTGGGCATTAGCAGCGTACTGAATCCTGTGGTGAAAAGGGTTAATTTAATAAGGTCATATGGGCTCAACCATAGACAGTTCAGAGACCTGCTGAAAGATATAGACACAGAAAGTACGATTTACCAGATTACACAGCAATACGATGACTAAGTTGTGAGAAAGTTCTGAGCAGAGTATTTAAGTTAAGAAAGGAAATAGCTGATAATCCGGGAAAGTAAAGGCAAGCCACAGCCATTAGTGTCTGATGAAGAGTGGGTTTGGAAATTGGTCTTTGCTGCAGACATAACCAGTCATTTAAATTTTCTTAACCTAAAACTGCAAGGAGAGGAAAATCTAGTTTCTGAACTATACACCCACCTCAAGGCCTTCATATCCAAATTCGTCTTGTTTTTTGGAACAAGTACAGGCCAACAACTTGACACACTTTCATCAGTGCAAGGTCTTCATGGCTGAAGCAACAGCGGAGTTCCCCACGTCATTTGCATGCGAGATTATCAAAGACCCCCCCCCCCCCCAAACTGCAGCGTCAACAGCGGTATTCTGATATGGATTCAAAGTCAGAAGAAGTGAGACTTTTTCAAAACCCATTTGAAGCAGATGTGGCCAGTTGGCCAAGAGAACGGCAACTGTAGGCTATTGAATTGTAAGCGAATGACCTCCTTAGGGACAAGTTCAAAGAAGGAATGGTCGGTTTTTAACCAGTTTTCGCCCAAGGAAGACTTTCCTAATGTCAAAACTTTTGCAACAATTTACCTTTCAATCTTTGGAGCAACATACCTGAGTGAACAAACATTTTCAACAATGAAAAACGTGAAGAATAATTGAGAACAAATTTGTCCGATGATAATATCAGGTCACTGTTGATGTTAGGGACATCAAATCTAAATCCAGAAATGTCTGCTAATCACTGCTATTTTGGCATCCAGGAAGCTATTCCCTCATTCCCCCTAAAACAGGTGTTCATGTGTCGTGTAGCAATGTGTCGTGTAGCAATGTGTCGTGTAGCAATGTGTCGTGTAGCAATGTGTCGTGTAGCAATGTGTCGTGTAGCAATGTGTCGTGTAGCAATGTGTCGTGTAGCAATGTGTCGTGTAGCAATGTGTTATTAAATAATAACTGACTAAAATAATATTAACTAAATAATTAAAAAACGACATCCATATTGTGATTTTTTTTATTTGGACCTCGAGTGAGTAGTCGGCCCCCGAACTGCAGTTTGATAGTTAATGCGGCCCTAGGGCTCAAAAGTTTGGAGACCCCTGCTCTATAATATTGAAAAATATGGACAGACAGAATTAAGATATTTTTTAATAACTGAATATTTTACTACACAAAAGAACATGCACGCTTCAGTTGTATTCAGAGCAGATACTGGCGACCGAGTTAAAGCTACATCAGATTGTTGGTTAAGACAAAGTATTCTTACAAAAGATGGATTAACCAATTGATGTACTAATTGGTGTACTAATTAAAATAGTAATTGATGTACTACTTGATGTACTAATGAGTGTACTAATTGGTGTACTAATTGCTAACAACGGTTAACATTTGAAGTATTCCACGCATAAATAAGGATGTAATTATCGAGGGGGGGGGTGGGGTAAACAGGGTGTACAATAACATAAGCTTACACATTTCAAAAGCCAACCTTGGACTTCCATTGCTCCAACCTTGACTTTGCATTTTTCCAACCTTGACTTTGTAGTGCTCCAAATGGTCCGAACAAAGACGATAGGGTCAACCTTGACCACGACAATTACAACTGAAGAAAATAGTGTGAGACAAAAATCCTGTCCAATGTTTCTCTATATTACAAGCCAAAAACACAAAGATATTGTCCAATGTTTCTCTATATTACAAGCCAAAAACACAAAGATAATGTCCAATGTTTCTCTATATTACAAGCCAAAAACACAAAGATATTGTCCAATGTTTCTCTATATTACAAGCAAAAAACACAAAGATAATGTGCAATGTTTCTCTATATTACAAGCCAAAGACACAAAGATAATCTGCAATGTTTCTCTATATTAGAAGCCAAAGACACAAAGATATTGTCCAATGTTTCTCTATATTTCAGGCCAAAGACACAAAGATTAATCCAATTTTTCTCTATTTTACCAGCAAAAAACACAATGATATTGTTTAATGTTTCTCTAAATTACAAGCCAAAAACACAAAGATAATGTCCAATGTTTCTTTATATTACAGGTCAAAGACACAAAGATATTGTTCAATGTTTCTCTATATTACAAGCCAAAAACACAAAGATAATGTCCAATGTTTCTCTATATTGTAAGCCAAAAACACAAAGATATTGTCCAATGTTTCTCTATATTACAAACCAAAGACACAAAGATATTGTCCAATGTTTCTCTAAATTACAAGCCAAAAACACAAAGATAATGTCCAATGTTTCTCTATATTACAGGTCAAAGACTTGAGGATATTGTCGTATGTTTCCTAAATTACAAGCCAAAAACACAAAGATAATGTCCAATGTTTCTCTATATTACAAGCCAAAAACACAAAGATATTGTCCAATGTTTCTCTATATTACAAGCCAAAAACACAAAGATATTGTCCAATCTTTCTCTATATTACAGGTCAAAGACACAAAGATATTGTCCAATCTTTCTCTATATTACAGGTCAAAGACACAAAGATATTGTCCTATGTTTCTCTAAATTACAAGCCAAAACACAAAGATAATGTCCAATGTTTCTCTATATTACAAGCCAAAAACACAAAGATAATGTCCAATGTTTCTCTATATTGTAAGCCAAAAACACAAAGATATTGTCCAATGTTTCTCTATATTACAAACCAAAGACACAAAGATATTGTCCAATGTTTCTCTAAATTACAAGCCAAAAACACAAAGATAATGTCCAATGTTTCTCTATATTACAGGTCAAAGACTTGAGGATATTGTCGTATGTTTCCTAAATTACAAGCCAAAAACACAAAGATAATGTCCAATGTTTCTCTATATTACAAGCCAAAAACACAAAGATATTGTCCAATGTTTCTCTATATTACAAGCCAAAAACACAAAGATATTGTCCAATCTTTCTCTATATTACAGGTCAAAGACACAAAGATATTGTCCAATCTTTCTCTATATTACAGGTCAAAGACACAAAGATATTGTCCTATGTTTCTCTAAATTACAAGCCAAAACACAAAGATAATGTCCAATGTTTCTCTATATTACAAGCCAAAAACACAAATATAGTGTCCAATATTTCTCTATATTACAAACCTAAGACACAAAGATATTGTCCAATGTTTCTCTATATTACAAGCCAAAGACATAAAGATATTGTCCAATGTTTCTCTATATTACAAGCCAAAAACACAAAGATATTGTCCAATGTTTCTCTATATTCCAAGCAAAAAACACAAAGATATTTTCCAATATTTCTCTATATTACAAGCCAAAGACACAATCCCTTTACAGTCCAAACCTATTCAGCCTTGTCTACTCCCAGCGCCCAAGCAAAGGGACATAACTCCATTTTAAATGAAGGTTCTTTATCTTATTAATTTACAGAAAATAAACTAGAAACAACAAAATAAAATAAAAAATACCTAAATACAAAGAAATGATTAAAGCAAAAGTTAAACCTAAATTAGTTTCAGAGACCCTCCCACTCATGAAATACTGAAGCTTCATTAGGCCTAAGTTCTTTCAAAAGTGTATCCAAGGCTTAGATAGCGAAAGCGATACAAGCCAAAGACACAAAGATAATGTCCAATGTTTCTCTATATTACAAGCCAAAGACACAAAGATAATGTCCAATGTTTCTCTATTTTACAAGCCAAAGACACAAAGAAAATGTCCAATGTTTCTCTATATTACAAGCAAAAAACACAAAGATATTGTCTAAAGTTTCTCTATATTACAAGCCAAAAATCTCTGCTCTATAAAATGAAATCCTTCTCTCCTCTCTCTACTGACTAATATAATTTACCTTGAACTCTACAGTAAAATTAAATCTTAAATAGAATTTTGTATGTACAGGAAACAATTGCCATAAAGTCACACGATGAATAGCACACTAGCGCAATGCATTGAAAGACAACCTTAGACAGGGCACAGTGCTTACCTTAACGTGGTGTCTTTTTTATTAGCTTTATTTGTTCAATTGAATGAGATTAAGGATCAGAGACGGGAATGGTTTGGGGGGGGGGGGGCAGGAGACAAAAAAAAACTCTTTGGAAAGAAACAGAAAAAATTTATGGAATCCAATTTTAAGGATCAGAGACGGGAATGGTTTGGGGGGGGGGGGGGCAGGAGACACAAGATACATCTCTGGAAAGAAACAGAAACAATTTATGGAATCCAATTACGACTGAGATCCCTTCGATGCCCTTCAGGTATCTCGTTAGCCCTGGAGAAAACTCTAATTGCTAAAGCCAATGGTTCTCAAAGTAGTGTATTAACACCAATGTCTTACAAGGATTGCATAGCAAACACCTGACCGTTCGGAAAAGTTCGAGATTTCCAAGGGGAGATTTTTCGGAAGAACAGAAGATGGATACAGACATACAAATACTATCTCTATTATAGATTATGGCTCAACATTTGTCTGTTCTAAACAGTGGAACATACGATACGAGCATTCTTGTTTCAGAAATTTTAGAATCGTCTGACTAATCGACAGAATATAGTATCTATATTATCAAGCATCATTTGAAATATGAAAACAAAAAATAAATATGAAATTTGACCAAATAGCCTCCTCAATGGGCCAAATCTAAGCTGAACTGTCAAATGGACAAATCTAAGCTGAACTGTCAATGGGACAGATCTAAGTCCAACTGTCAATGTAGCAAATCTAAGTCCAACTGTCAAATGAGCAAATATAAGTGTGTCAATTGAGCAAATCTAAGTTGAACTGTCAATGTAGCCAATCTAGGTTGAACTGTCAATGTAGACAATCTATGTTGAACTGTCAATGTAGCCAATCTAAGTTGACCTGTCAATATAGCCAATTTATGTTGAACTGTCAATGTAGCCATTCTATGTTTAACTTTCAATGTAGCCAATCTAAGTTGAACTGTCAATGTAGCCACTCTAAATTAAACTGTCAATGTGGTCAATCTAAGTTGAACTGTCAATGTAGCCAATCTAAGTTGAATTGTCAATGTAGCCAATCTAAGTTGAACTGTCGCTATTTTGAGACGCCGTTTATCTGTGCTAACGAGATGATGGGATAGAAGGCCTTCTTCTCTTAACATAACAAGCCAGGGGCTGTGTCTATTATTTCTCTGTGCAATACGACTCTACGGAAAATTGAGCCTTCTTTAATAGGAAAATTGATTGTGTGCTATTGAATGTAACAATCAATTATTAAACAATAGAAAAAACAAGTGGTCATTAAATCCAATAATTAACGTTACCTTCATGTATGAGCCACACTACAGCTATGTATGAGCCACACACTACAGCTATGTATGAGTCACACTACAGCTATGTATGAACCACACTACAGCTATGTATGAACCACACTACAGCTATGTATGAGCCACACTACAGCTATGTATACAACAAACTACAGCTATGTATGAGCCAAACTACAGCTATGTATGAGCCACACTACAGCTATGTATACAACACACTACAGCTATGTATACAACACACTACAGCTATGTATACAACACACTACAGCTATGTATACAACACACTACAGCTATGTATACAACACACTACAGCTATGTATACAACACACTACAGCTATGTGTATAACACACTACAGCTATGTATACAACACACTACAGCTATGTATACAACACACTAAACTTATGGTAGACAACACACTACAATTATAGTATACAACACACTACAGTTATGGTATACAACACAATACAGTTATGGTATAAAACACACTAAATTTATCGTATTCTACACACTATAATTATGGTATATAACACACTATAGTTATGGTATGTAACACACTAAAGTTATCAAATACAATACACCACAGTTATAGTATACAAAACACTACAATTTTGGCACGCAACACACTACAGTTATGTATACAGCACACTAAAGTCATGGTATATAACACACTACATTAAGGTATGCAACACACTACAATTATGTATACAACAGTCTACAATTATGGTATACAACACAATAAAATTATTGTATACTACACACTGCAGTTATGGAATACGACACACTACAGTTATGGTATACAACTCACTACAGTTAGGGTATACAACTCACTACAGTTAGGGTATACAACTCACTACAGTTAGGGTATACAACACACTACAGTTAGGTTATACAACACACTACAGTTAGGTTATACAACACACTACAGTTAGGTTATACAACACACTACAGTTAGGTTATACAACACACTACAGTTAGTTTATACAACACACTACAGTTATGGTATACACCACTGTTGAAGTGCGTCACACAACTGTCTCCTCTCTGTCCACAGCAAGCCCCAGCAGCGGCGAATCATGTTGTATAGAAGTCAGAACTACGTGACACGCCAGAGCAGCGCCGCCTCTGATTCTGTTTACGCTCTCAATGGAGTGGACCTGCCCCACACCCGATCTAGCCTGGTACATGGCGACGCCTGAGAGCCACTGGAGCGCCCTTCATGGAATTGGGGGGTACCGAGTGCCGCCTATGTAACAGAGAGTGTGACCTGACATAAGCATCAAGTCTCAAATTTTGCAGGTTTTTTTTTTAAATTTTGAATTGTGACTAGTTCAACCAACTTTGTAGGGATTTTTGGTGGCTCAGTCGATAAAGATATCGGTTCGAATCCCAGGTCTGGTGTTCGATTAACTAAAAATTGACCAAATAAGGTTATACGTTGTGCCACGTGACTTGGGGTCTACGTCATCTGTTTCTGTCCCTGGTCATTTTTTAACACCCACCTTTTGATGAACTATTGAAAGCAATAAGTCCATTGTACGTGAATTAGTGTCAATGATGTCATTGTAATGCTATTTATTTGTAAATAAATGTAGAAGTGTTTTTAAAGGATAATCTCTGTACCGGACGGCGGAAATAGTTCGTACACCTTACACAGAAAGTTCATTGATTCGTGTTATTTACAGTGTGTGACGCCCAGAGGTGGTCTGCCAAAGGTTAAAAGTACAAGAAAATTTAAGGGAAAAATTTTATTTTTTTTTAAATTGGGCATCTGCCCATACTGCAATGTTGAATTCCTTCATATTTCCTCATGTGACAATGACGTGTTTGAATCCAAAAGCCGAATTCTGACCACTGTGAACGTAGTTTTAGGAAGATTGTGTTTAAAAATTGTTTCATTATTTTAATTTAACTTTTTATAACGAAAATTATAATAGATTTGATAAATATTAGATGCAATCTTTTCATCAGCTCTAAATTAGTTCAATTGTGTCCTTTTCTTCTGAGGCGTACACATATCTGACATCCCACACTAATTGGAGTCAGGCAATAAATGTTTATTGATTAATTCGACACCAACAAATTGTGTCTATATAACAATATTATAAGGTAAGCTTTAATAATAATTTTACAGAACACACTTTGTATCATTAGTTAATAAATGTCTACCATCTCAAACTCCGAATCGAAAAAGTTCCGGTAAAGTTTGATATTCTGACCTGTGACCGCATTACAGAAGAAACGGTAGATGCTGTTTTAATCATTTTTTTAAAATAAAAACATGACTACGTTTGATCATGCAACCAAACAAATTTAATTAGGATTATGATAATACAATGTATATTTTGCCTAGGATTCAACCCGCTAACATCATAAGATTATGACCACACAGTAAGTGTAAGAGATGGGTTGTTCTTGGTATGCCGAGCAGAACAAATTATATTTATTGTTTAATTGAATTGTTTTTATTCACAGGAAGTGTTTTTAAGTCTTGCCACCGTTTAGAACGATCTTAGCACACTATTTATATTCGTTTAATTAGTAATGCCCATACAAATCCATATGTTCATATGTAATGTTAGAAGTTCATCCTTTCTTGTATGGTATCACTTTTACTTATAATAGAAATGTTCAGAGACTTGGGTTGATTTTGTTTGTAGTTTTTATCGGACAGCTCCATGATCCCAAACTCTAGTCTCTAGTTTAAAATGAAAAATATATCTACAGACTTTGTGGTTGATTCCCGATTCATCTTCATCTTTTTACTATGTTAAACTACATTTACGTCTTCTGGATTAGAGTAACTTAGCCATGATGACATTAATCTATAGTTTACCCATATTTTGATGACAATCTATAGTTTACTAACCCGTGTTTTGATTCTTTCAACAAGCTTACCCTACAATATCGCGTACTACAATGTCACGTACGACAATATCACGTATTACAATGTCACGTGCTACAATGCCACGAGCTCAAATAGAGGTGTGTCCATCTGGTTGACCCACTTCCTTGAAGTGCAGCCATCTTGCCAAAGCTAAGAAATGCTTTCACTGTCAGTCTTAAACCTATGTCAAAACGTCTTATTGACTTTGCTAAATTTGCTGTAACGAAGTGTTGATTCTTTTTTCAGCGTGTGTTAAGTGTACAATGTTAGAGTTCAAGCCAATCTCTTCCTCTGGTGATCGTATGGCCCAAAACTCTCCTGATCCGTGTATCCATGTCACTATACAATGTTAGAGTTCAAGCCAATCTCTTCCTCTGGTGATCGTATGGCCCAAAACTCTCCTGATCCGTGTATCCATGTCACTATACAATGTTAGAGTTCAAGCCAATCTCTTCCTCTGGTGATCGTATGGCCCAAAACTCTCCTGATCCGTGTATCCATGTCACTATACAATGTTAGAGTTCAAGCCAATCTCTTCCTCTGGTGATCGTATGGCCCAAAACTCTCCGGATCCGTGTATCCATGTCACTATCCAACGTTCATCCAACTATACTTGATTTCATTTATCCATGTCATGTCATGGAACAAATCATTCCTATGCCCTTAATCTAAATGCCCAATGCCCTCAAAATATAATCATCCATAAGCCCCAAAAACCAAACAATCATCTGCCCCAATCCAGTCAATCTGTCGTACACTTTTAATGCCCTTATGCCCATTCTTATACATGTCTCACGATTAATAAATGTCTGTTCCCCAAACCCAATCATTCGATTCTCATTGACCCCCAATCCCTCCCAAACTTCCAATCCCAATCATCCGTAATGCCAGAAATTAATTTGACATAAAACAATCATACAATCATACATGTAGCGTGAAACCCAAACTGAAACATTCATGTTTCAAAACCCCAATTACCTCTCCCTCGACCCCGATCCCCCAATTCATCCCTGGTGATGTATCTAAAACTACAGAACAGCGACATCATCAAGCTCTCATTAGACATCAATAGGCTCATATTAGACCTCTAAAACATTAATTGGCTTTTGAAATAAGGTAGTTGCTAATCGATTTTCATCAAATCCGTGGACACGCGTGTCGTGATTCTATTAAAAAAAAAAAGAAGTAGGAGATGTTCATCATAATCATCATCATCATCATCATCATCATCATCATGTCCCTTAGTCCTTGGACCTTTGGGGCGCCACAGATGACATGTAAACTATTTTCCTCCATTCCTCTCTGTTAGTCGTCACCAAATTTCGGTAGGAGTTAAGGCTCTCAAACATTAAGCATGAACCTTGTATGCATCATAAATTCAGTGTTGTTTTATTTAAAGGGCACGACATGACCTGCATTCGGTTGAAAGTATAGGGGAGGTTTAGGGGTGGGGAGGGGGGAGCTGCGTAATCCTGACCCTTTCGGGAAAAGTTAAACTCGCTATAAATAGAATTAATCCCGTGATGTCATCTGCAGCGCCCTCTATCGATGCGGCTTTCAATCTCTTCATTTTTCCTCGGTCAGCATCCAAAAAAATTTGAAAATTGCTGATCTCAGCTAAAATAAAAAATGGAGTGGATTAACCAATCCTGAGTTAAGTGAATGACGTCTCGTGGATTTATCCTGGGTCCGGTCAACAAAGAAATCTCTCCTGACCGATGAACTCTTAACGCATTGGGAGCATTCAATTAATTCTCAACCGTCTGCCAAATAATAAAACTATGATCGCAAGTAAACCTTTATTTTGTCTCACCATTTGCTCTTGTCTCGTGCATATTTCCACGACCTCTTCATGTTTATTTTGTCTCACCATTTGCTCTTGTCTCGTGCATATTTCCACGACCTCTTCATGTTTATTTTGTCTCACCATTTGCTCTTGTCTCGTGCATATTTCCACGACCTCTTCATGTTTATTTTGTCTCACCATTTGCTCTTGTCTCGTGCATATGTCCACGACCTCTTCATGTTTATTTTGTCTCACCATTTGCTCTTGTCTCGTGCATATTTCCACGACCTCTTCATGTTTATTTTGTCTCACCATTTGCTCTTGTCTCGTGCATATTTCCACGACCTCTTCATGTTTATTTTGTCTCACCATTTGCTCTTGTCTCGTGCATATTTCCACGACCTCTTCATG